TAATTAAAAACATTATTTTCAAAGTGCCAATTCTATTAAAGGAGCTTCCAAAAATGAATAAAATAATAGCAGTTACCATGTACTGGGAATTATGCTCAGTTTTACATGTGTATTAATAAACCATTTAGTTTCCAGTGCTCAAAAAGATCTGGTAAGGTAGATATTGTACATGAGGAAACTCAGGTATGGAGAGGTGAAGTAATTTGCTCACGGTCACACAAATAAATGGTGGCACTAGGATTCAAGTCCAGGTATTTTGGCTCTAGCGTATCAGAGTATCAACATGCAGACAAGATACTTTTTCTCTAAGATGTACTTCATTGAACAAAACCTAACAGAAATGGAATGATGTAAAAATGGCAGAGGAGGAACTTCCATGCAAGTATTTCTCATGTATCACTCACATGTTCAATATAAAGCAGCTCAAGTTTTTAAAACTATTTGTACTTGAATTCTAATTTTCCTTATATCCAATCAGTAATATTTTCCCTTTAAATAGTATTTTTTTAATAAGGGCTTACTAAAGTAAACATGAAAATTTTCTAATTTTCTTTTCAGAGCATTACCTGAAGTCAGCCCTGGCAGTAACTTAAAAAGCCACAAAGGATTTTAAAAATAGTTACCTTTCTTATCAGACATCTATTAAACTTCTAAAGGAACACTTAAACATTCCTTTCTGTTCCTAATGGCTTCTACATTAGCTTCAGTCAAATAAAATAACTTTGATCTTATTCTTTAGACCCCGAAGACTGCTGAGTGAGTGAATGTTCACCAACCATATGTGTCCTAGGCATTGAAGACTAACTTAGGAGTTGTTCGCCTCTAAAGGAGTACATAGATCAGCGAGATTTGCTTCTCTGAACTCTTTTTATGTTAGTAGCTACTCAAAAATCAGAACCCTTCTTAGGGTTTTATAGGATTTATTTTGTATCTATCATTTTAGGATGTTTCTCATAGACTGTGGCACGAAGTATACAAGTTAATTGCCTGTACAAGCACTTTAACAGTGCTCCCAGATAAGCCAGTACCACTTCTAAAGGGGATTTTGGAAACGTGAGCTTTCTTTTGGGTGGCACAACGATCGGTGGCACCCCTGGCATTTGGTGGGTGGGGGCCAGGACAGTTCAAAGTCTTACAACATGTGGAACAATCTCACGTGAAGAAACATAGTTCAGCATCCTGTGTGACTTCCCAATGCCCATTCATGTAGTAGAAAAATCAGTTTATGATGATCTGAACCTAGAAACTAATGTTTTCATACAGTATAAAGTGCTGTTTTGCATAGTTTTAAGTAAAATTCATTGTTTCCAAACACGCAACATGTAAATCAAGACTGTGTATTTGTTCAGAACTTTACTATGTACGATCCACCAATTTAGGGGGAAAAGTCTTATCAATGGAAATGTTTGTGTTTCTGAATCACAACAGTCTATATGGAGTTATTATCACTTACACAGTCTTCAGATGTAATTATACCCAAGCATTTACATACTGAAATATAAAAGATTATAAATTTCTTTCCTCTTTATTTCTATTCTATGTACAATTATTATATACATTTTAATGTCACTTCAGGATAGTAAAGGGGACATTTTTTATAAAAAGGAAGTAATGGGTTTGATAGGGTCAATTTACTGACTCAGATGCCAGCCGTAATACAAGGCAACTTGCATAGATGGGAAATTAAATAGTTAAAGATGACAAATGCTCCCAATACACTAGTAAAATAAAATTCAACACTGTTTAACCACAAAGACAGAAAACCTGTTCAATGCGTAGCTTCTGCGTTGGGTCTCCTAATTAGATGTCACAGCTTGTTCTTTTGGCTGCAACTTTCCGATGGCTCTGCAGATGAGCTGATACCATTCCAGGCGGGCAGGGTCAGTGCTGCTCTGTCCCGTCCCTCCTCCTTTCCTATCCTCAGAGGATGATGTGTAATAGAAAGAAAGCTTTGTTAGGTGGCAGACAGGCAGGTTTGCTGTGGAAAATCAATTACCACCATCCTCATTTCATTCATTTACATACTATCACACTAAAATAACTCAACATTTTTAGTATTTCTCTTTAAAGCCAAATATTTGGTTCACTTTTTATTTATTTTTTTATTTTTAACTATATTTTATTGATTTTTTTACAGGGAGGAAGGGAGAAGGATAGAGTTAGAAACACTGATGGGAAACATCAATCAGCTGCCTCCTACACACCTCCTACTGGGGATGTGCCCGCAACCAAGGTACATGCCCTTGAACGGAATAGACCCTGGGACCCTTCAGTCTGCAGGCCGACACCTTATCCACTGAGCCAAACCAGTTAAGGCTGGCTCACTTTTTATAGATACAACTTTTTAAAAAGGTCCAAAAGCTGCTAAAATAGATCATTGCCCATGACAAACACATCCAAATAGTCAAAACATATTTATACTAGAGGCCTGGTGCATGAATTCATGCACAGGTGGGGTCCCTTGGCCTGGCCAGCGATCAGGGCTGTCTCATCCAGTCCCAATTGGGGTGATGGGGGCTGGCTGGCACGGGGAGGGACCATGGGAGGTTGGCCAGATGGCCGGGGAGGGACCATAAGAGGGCTCCAGGGTGTGTCTGGCCCTCTCACCCAGTCCCGATCAGCCAGACCCCAGCAGCAAGCTAACCTACTGGTTGGAGCGTCTGCCCCCTTTGTGGTCAGTGTGCATCACAGCGACTGGTTGAACGGTTGACTGAATGGTCAACTGATCGGTTGGACACTTAGCATATTACACTCATTATGTAGGATATTGTAATTTTTTTCAGTGGCACTTGTCTACACTAATAAAAGAGAAACATGGTAATTGGCGTACGACCGCTACCCTTTTCATTGGCTAATCAGCGAGATATGCAAATTAACTGTCAGCCAAGATGGCGGCCGGCAGCCAGGCAGCTTGAAACTAACGTGAGGCTTGCTTGCTTCAGTGACGGAGGATCGTTGGAGGAAACCAACGTTCGCCGCCTGCGGCCTCTGAGCGGGCAGTTTAAGAAACATTGTAACAAATACTGCCCGACTTCAGCCAGCAGATTCGCAACATTGTAAGCGAAGGCCAGAAACCTACTTTCAGCTGCGCGGAGGCCTAAGAGCTGGAGCCAAGCCTCAAGGTAAAGCTGGCCCAGAATAAAAAAAAAGAAAAAGAAAAAAAGGAGCGTTTGGGAGTTCAGTCACCCCCAGCCTGAAAGCAGTCCTCAGCCCCTCACCCAGACTGGCCAGGCACCCCAGTGGGGACCCCCACCCTGATCCAGGACACCCTTCAGGGCAAACCAGCCGGCCCCACCCATGCACCAGGCCTCTACCCTATATAGTAAAAGGGTAATATGCCTCCCAGCACCGGGATCAGCGTGACAGGGGGCAGCGCCCAAACCCCCTGATCGCCCTGCGGCTCTGTGTGTGACAGGGTGCGTGGCCCCAACCCCCTGAGCAGCCCTGCTCTGTGCCTGATAGGGGGGAGCTCCCCAACCCCTCCCCCCCACGGGCCCTGCTCTGAGTGTGAGAGTGGCAGCGCCCCAACCCCCTGATCGGCCCTACTCTGTGTGTGACGGGGGCAGCGCCCCAACCCCCCTCCCCCACGGGCCCTGCTCTGTGTGTGATGGGGTAGAGCCATAACCTCCCCATCGGCCCTGCCCTGAGTGTGAGTGGCGGCGCCCCAATCCCCTGATCGGCCCTACTCTGTGTGTGACGGGGGCAGCGCCCCAACCCCCCAATCGGCCCTACCCTGAGCGTGACTGAGGGTGGCATCACAACCTCCCAATCTGCCCTGCTCTGTGCATGACGGGGTGGCGCCCCAACTCCCCAATCGGCCCTGCTTTGAGCCCGACCAGGGGCTGCACCTAGGGATTGGGCCTGCCCTCTGCCACCCGGGAGCAGGCCTAAGCCAGCAGGTCATTATCTCCCGATGGGTCCCAGACTGTGAGAGGGCACAGGCCAGGCTGAGGGACTCCCCCTCCCCCCCGAGTGCACAAATTTTTGTGCACCGGGCCTCTAGTGAAAAAATATATAAGCAAAAATTTCCAGAGAAATCTGATTAGTAATAGCCATTGTGAATGCATACAGAATTTTAATTTTTATTATATTAGAGGCCAAGTGCACGGATTCCTGCACCAGTGGGGTCCCTCAGCATGGCCTGTGCCCTCTCGCAATCCGGGACCCCTTGGGGGATGTGAGACTGCCGGTTTTGGCCCAACCCCCGCAGACCAAGATCATGGGGATCAGGCTGAAGGCCAGGGAGGAGCTGGAGCCCAGGCACCACACTGCTTCTGCTCATCTCAGCCCTGCTGCGCCTGCTACTGCTGCTGCTTGGTAGTGTTGCTGCGGAGGCAGGAGAGGCTTACACCTGTCCATCAGTGAGCAGCGCTCCAGCTGTGGGAGCACACTGACCACCAAGGGGCAGCTCCTACGTTGAGAGTCTGCCCCCTGGTGGTCAGTGGACATCATAGCAACCCGTCGACCAGTCATTTGGTTGCTTGGGCTTTTATATATACAGATTTTCATATTTTATGTATGCATATTACTTAGATGTAAAGATTCATAAATTGTTATAAATTCACCTTCACTAAATGTGAATGAGTGGGATGAGATTTTCTTACACTTTTATGTTTCTAGGTAATAAACTTAAAACTTTCTCATTACCAACTAGAAGCCCAGTGCATGAATTCATGTACAGGTAGGATCCCTTGGACTGGCCGGCGATCGAGGCCTATCAGGCTGGCTGACTGGCAGGAGGAAGGGACTGCGGGAGGTTGGCTGTGGGAGAGCAATGACCACCAGGGGGCAGCTCCTGCATTGAGCATGTCATAGCGACTGGTTGACCGGTCTTTCCAGTTGTAACAGCCACTTAGGCTTTTATTTATTTATATATATATATATGGAAGAGCATATATTTTTTTCTAATGAAATAAAAGCATTCACTTGACAAATCAGTTTATTAATATCAAGTTTAAGGGTGTGCATAAAATTGCAATAATGACAATTTAAATGAAGTAAACAGAATAAACTGTTTATTAAAACACTGTGTAATAAAATAAACTTTTTTTGATCCGATGCTATAGTGGTAAACATTTCCCCCTTATTAACAGTACACCTGAAACACAGTTAAATTATACCATAATCTGGTTAAAACTTGAAAATACCCCTGTTCTTTCCCACTGAATGACTGAACAGTGAGGTGTGCAGATCTAGGGTTTTTTGATGAGTCAATGATAGAGAACGATAACCTAAAAGACAAGCGAAATCCTATATGCCCAAAGATGAAATCTTATTTACCCTGCTCTCTGGCCCAAACTTAAAATTGTCCTATCAAATAAATATTTAATGAATCATCCCCTTTCCTGTCTAAAATAAGTATCAAGAACAAATTAAGGATAAGAGTTGGGTTTTAAACTGCATTTTATTTGTTATTATAACATTGTCTTTTTTTTTTAACTGATCAACGTTAAAGCATGCAAAAGTTCTCTTCCAACGGAACTGCTTCCACAGCCCCTTACATATCAATAAGTAAATTATAAAGGTCATTCAATTTGTAGTTCTCTCCTCCTTTATAGCACTTCTAAGCAGTGTGACACATACCACAGAGATAGGAAAGACCATCTTTAATAAATTATCTTCTTAATTGTAGAGAATTTCTGAAAATGAAACTGACAAAACGCTAACCCAATGCCTTGGATGAGTCCTCAAGGACCAAAGATCCATCTCCTCCTATTGGAAGACTTAGTCCTCCGGAGTGTCCTGGTCGTTGTAGGGCACTTGGTAAGGCGATCCACCAGGGCTCTGGACAAATGCACTAAGAAGCCCTTTCACCACTCTCATTTGCCGATTCTTTGGACCACCCAGTCTTGCTGGCAGAGAGGGCAGCGATTGTTCTGTTTCACCCACAGGGACATGCAGCAGTTGTGGAAGGAATGATTACATTCTCCCCAGACCACTAAAAAGGGGGGAAAAAAAAGATTTTTTGACATTAAACATTTCAATTTAAATGACCGAGCTCAAATATATAGCTTATTTTATATTATGAATAATAATCATGGTTCATAATCTCAAATAAAGATGATAAATTGGTCAAAATAATTTTTTCTACCTGTAAAGAAACAGAAACTTACATGTGTAAGGTTTGTGCTTAGGGGACGTCCCACCACAGCTCTAGAATCCGTGAATGATGTGGTGGCCCTGGTTCCTATACAGCTCCATATGCTGTCTTCCTGAAGTTAGGAGATTAAAGGACTTGAGTCTTCCTTAGATCCCAGACCTGAGTTCTCAGTCATGCACTGACTTTGGAGATGTTTTGGCTTTATTTTACTAAAAAATATCCTCCTGATTTTTATTTATTAAGATATGAGTTTTAAGTGTTTTCAAGTTCATAAGTAGGTATTATGAATAGATGACATGCTTCTAAATATTATCAGCTGTACATCTGCTGAGCTGTTTCCTAGAAGTGCTGATAAATTGTGTTGTCATCAATAAACAGTGCAATTCCTCATGTGACAGACAATGAAATTTTCAAAGTGGCTGTCTGGAAAGAGGTCGCTTTGTGATCAAAGAAAGATGGTCTATACCCCACAATTACCAAATTAATGTGTTTTTTAAAACAGCATGAAAGAAAAATTTTAAACTAAGGGAAATCACCCACAATCTGGACTACAATCTGAAATGTGAGCTTCATCTGTCCCCTGCTTGACCATCTGAGCTACATGATAACAGAACAATTAAGACATAGGAATAAAAAAGAAAAAAACTTCTTACGAAAATAGGCTGTAGAAGGTAGAAAACAAGAATCATTCTAGTGTTTCAGAAGAAAGAAACAGGATTTGATCAAAATGGCATAGATCACTAATAAAAAGCTGTATATAAGCCCTGGCCAGGGGGCTCAGTTGATGGGAGCATTGTCCTGTATCCCAAAAGGTTTTGGGTTCGATTCCTAGTCAGGGCACATACCTAGGTTTCAGGTTCAATTCCTGGTATGGGAGGTAACAATATTTCTTTCTTTCATTGATGTTTCACTTTCTCTCTCTCCGTCCCTCTCTTCCTTCTCCTCTCTCTCCCCCTCCCTCCCTCTATAAAAAAAAAAAAAATCAATAAAAACATATTCTGTAAACCACACCAGCACAAAGTACAAAGATAACTTTTCATTCTAGGAAAAACGTTTAAAGTAATCTAGAAGTGATAATTTCAAGAACTGGGATATACATACCTTTGAACTGCTTAAAACATTTAGCCAAGATAACTTTTGTAGCCCAAGACTATAAGGAAAATTTTATAATATATATATATATATAGATAGATAGATAGATATATAGATATATATATATCTATATATAGAGATATATATAGATATCTCTATACAGAGATATATATATATAGCTATATAGATATATATATATATCTATACACACACACACACACATACTATATTTCAAAAAAAGACTTACAATTTTTCTATCTCAATTAAATGTTAAACACTCTATCATAAGTGTACTGAAAACTGAAATGCTTTAGTAGAATGAAACTCTACCAAAACTGACCTATAACATACTCAAAATTTTAATGATGCTTTGGCAAATTCCTTCTTATATAATTTTCTTAATAGAAGAGGATTATTCATTTTTTTGATTATCAAAATATTTACTATGCCCATGTCTGGAATACTTATATAACCAATTCTTCTTAATTACAGACAATAAAAAACAAACAAACTTGCAGATGAATTCTATTAAGGCCTCTGAGAGCCAACACATTTTATATTAATAATGGATTACTGCTTTACAGCTTATTTTTGTGTATTGATAAAGTCAATCTTAATAGCAAATTCAAACATCCCCACTGAGAGAAAACCTTCAGTTGAAAAAGCATTAGAATGAAATTACAACATACCAACACAATCCTCTTGTTTGTTTTCAGCTTGACATCTAAGACAGGCATCTAAAAGTAAACAAACAGCAATTCTCATTCTGATGCTCAGAATCCAATTTTTAAAACCCAGACACTTCAAAGTCAAAAAACGCCCAAAGGGTTAGAGATGGAGATAAAAGGCTCATTCTATTAATTTCTCATTTGAACATAACTGTTTAAACAGGAATAAAGTACAAGGCACTCTACTAATCTACTTCTGACCAGGAGCAATTTTACAAGGGTTACTGACCCTCTATTTTTACAAGCTCTGATGAAAAGATGTCCTGCCAGTGGATGCAACCACTAGAGAATACTTCACTCTATTAGAAGTTATTATAAGCTCACTGGGCATGCTCATATAGCTCAACCTTAGGGGTAGTTTATTTTCCAGACACCCTTTTAAATAAGCTATGCCCATGGGGATATAAACTACAGCTAGTGAATGGTCAATACTATAATAACTATGCATGGTGCCAGTGGGTACTGGAAATATTGGGGTGAACACTTTGTAAAGTATATTATTATCTAACCACTATGCTGCTGTACAAAATATAATACTGAATGTAAACTATACTTGAATAAATAAAATTTAAAAAATGAGCCATGCATATATATTGGCATTTGCTTATACATACATAAAGAAACTTTAGAAGGATACCCAAGAAACTAATAATAGAGTTTACCTGGAGGGGACTGAGTGGGAAGGCATTTTCATTGTATACTGTCTTAAAATTTTGAATTATGTGATTGTATAATCTATATAAATATTAAATTAAAATTAATTACAAATACTTTCTAAAAACTAGGAGTTTTTCTTCTTCTAAGAAAATGCTTCCTTTACAAACTAAGTCTGAGCCCATTTAACCAACAATGGCAAAATATTTTAATAAATTACTTGGGAGTTAATACTAGGAATGGGAACCTAAAGTATACTAGGTTGCTTGATGAAGAAGGTAATACAGATTATTTTAGGGACTAACTAAATGGATTCATTCACTAGCTGGAAGAAGAGTCAAAGTTGGGTAACGGAAGTTCAAACCAACAGAAAAAAAAGTTTTAACTGGAGAAAAATAATTCAGTAAAAATAGACACACGGTGGAGCTGAAGCCTGTTCTTCTTACACTGGGTTATGCACAGGCTCTTGTTTGCTGCTCTCTGCATGTTTTTACCCTAAAAAAACACACCACCCGGGCCTCTTCAGTGTGGACTAAAAACAACATTGCCTCCTAGGACTTTCTTCAACTCCATAATTACTCAGACTCTGCTCTGTGAAAGGAGTTATATGCACAGGGACACCAAAATGACAAAGTCTGGATTCCTGGTCTTCACAGCAAATAGGGAGGCAGACAGGCCAATGACTGAGTATCTTAAGGGTCCCGACGTAGCAGTGAAGACGAGGCTCTGCTTCTGCGCAATCACAGAATTAGAGTTTGTGATCCCAAGTGCCTCTTTCACAAACGAGGAAAAGAAGGCCCCAAAGGGTTGTGTGAAATGCCCAAGTTAACATGCAGCCATGAAGTACTCTGGCTCTTTATAACGTGGCAGCACAAGCAAACGCCTTCCTCTCCGCCTCAGCAGCCCTTGCTGCTTTCAGAATGAAGGGAGGACAGTGGAAACCAAGAGTGTTAACCACATCGGAATAGGTTGACAGGCAAAGCTTGGATCAAGGAGTCACAATAAATCAGTTGTGTATGAGATGAATTCCAAATATTAAGGAAATAGGATTAAGTGGGCTCTTTTTGTAGGACCTAGAAATCTCTGAATTACACTTATAGCTTTGATTTAGACGATCAAACACTGACCTAAGTAGATAAAAATTCCCACAGTTTCAGATTAAAAAGAAGTTTCTTTTGATGACGTTCCTAGTATCTGAAACAGCACATTTCTAAGCAGTACAATAACACTAACACCTTTTAGAATGATGAGGGTGAGGGCTGGGAAGCCTGAAAAACAAACTTCCTCCTGCTGTCAGCTGACCTCCAAGTGGATTTTAACACCTCTAAACAAAATACAAAGGTCCAGCCCAGAACACCTTCCAGAGCTCAAAGTATAGCTGCTGTAATCTGCAACGTTAATCCACAGCAGCAGAACCTGGCTATCATTAGAAAGTCAAACGTGCTGTTTCAGATATTAGGAACGTCATCAAAAGAAACTTTTTTTAATCTGAAACTGTGGGACTTTTTATCTACTGAGGTCAGTGTTTGATCGTCTAAATCAAAGCTATAAGCGTAATTCAGAGATTTACTTACAGACCATACTCTGACTTACTTTCAATGTCCCAAGTACAGTTTATTTGTTGTAAGATAGCAACCAGTACTTTAATCCCATATTTCTACTTCCTAGTTTACTTTTTTTTTTCCTTTGGGGAGAAGAATAAAATGCCTTTTTAGGGACATTCTTCTTTCTAAACTAAAGGAAATTTAGGTGACACAATGTTCAGCAAAGCCTGCCTTGCTAAAGAACAAAGTGAAGTCACCTACGTAAGCTAAAAATGCCGAAGTGGAAAACATGATTCCAGCGGTGAAGTAAGGCATAAGTTACGTGGTAAGGGGACTGTGCTGCAGGCCAATCAGCTCGGTGCTTTTTAAACCTAAATATGCAACGTAAGTGGATCACGTCTGAAATCAAGCTCTTTCGAAAAGTAAAACATCAACAATATCTGGATCCCACTGCTGTAAGTCCTTCTGCATAAAAGACTAGCGGGCACGCTAAGGAGGGTAAACTGAGGAACCTCTGGCTTCTGCTGGGTTGCGAGTCTTCCTCTGGCAAGAAGGGAGCGCCATTCTCCTTTAAGTTATTTTCTCCAGTTCTCGCATTTTTCCGGGCAAGACGCAAAGTTTTAAAACGACAGAAACCTCGGTTTTCTTCGCCTGCCCTCAGGAAAGGACAGGTGAGCAGCTCTCGGGGCATCCTACATGTCAATGCCCTCTTGAAACCTGCAACTGGCGGCTCGGCAGCGCCGCGTTTCCAAGGTGGCCCGAGCGCTCCCAACAGAAACCAGACGCGGGGACACGGGGCGAGGCGGTCACGCGAGGGCTCGCTCGGCCCCGGTCTTCACTCCCGGAACCACGGGAGGGAGGAGCACCTCTGGGTGGACGCGGGCGCTCCGTCCGCAGAGGCCTGCCTCCGAGCAGGGCGGGCTCTCCCAGGGGATGGCACCCTGCGACAGGCAGGGCCCGCGGGGAGGTGAAGGTCCGTGTGTCTAAGTCAGGGGCTTCGCGTTACTCAATTCCCACGAAACGGGAACATTCTGGCACCGCCCTGCGCTTCGGGGGCCGAGCGCGCGTGGGGCCGGTCCGAGCAGCCCGACTCCCAGGCCGGGCCTGCGGCGGCGGCCCCCCAACGCCGTCCCCGCAGCTCGCGAGCGGACCCAGGAGTCGTTCGGCGGAAGGTGACGGAGCACCCATCCCTCGGGTGTGTGGCCGGCCCCCGCCACCCCTCCGCGGCCCCAGGCCCTCGCCGCCACCCCTCCGCGGCCCGCGGCCCTCGCCGCCACCCCTCCGCGGCCCGCTATCACAGTCGGGGCGGGGCCGCCGCACTAACCGAGTCGGTTCCTCCCAGTGTGTCCTGGGTCACACCCACCGCTCCCCGAAATGACCTTCACCCCCCCCCTACTCACTGCCCGTGCCCCTCGCCAGCACCCGGCCCCAGGCGCCGGGACCCCACGGCCCGGGCGGCGGCCTCCGCTCTCCCGCTCGGGGCAGGGCGCCCCGCCGCCGACCCTCCGGGCCGCGGGCTCTCCGAGCCTCCGCGCGTCCCCGGCCTCGCGTGCAGCGCTTACCCATCACCTGGACCCTGCAGATGGCGCACGTATCGCACTCCACGTCCCAGCTCCACATGGCCACCGCGTTCCACTTCTTGAGAGAGAACATCTTGTCGCCTCCCGACTTGGAGCCCGCGCCCCCGGAGTGAGAGGACAGGGCGCAGGGCTCCTCGGCGTCTTCCACGTCGGCCATGGCGGCGGCGCGGAGCCGGCGCGGAGACGTTGAGTCGGGGAAGACCGGCGGCTATGGCGGCTCCGTGGGGCCGCCCGACAGGCCACAGCGCCGCCCGCAGGCCGCCGGCCGCCGCGGAGCCGGCTACAGGCGCCGCCCGCGATTGGCTGGCGCGGGCCATGACGTCACCGCACGCCAGCGCCCGGCCGCCGTTGACCCCGCCCTCCGCCCCTTCGCGTGTCGGGCAGCCCGGAGGCCGGAGGGTCCCGGGGCGACCGCGGCGGAAGCCTGGCCCCCGCTGGCGCGTGTCCTGTCGTGGTGGTTGGTGCACTTTGTGCAGGAAGCACGTGTCCTGCGTTCTGCCTCCGTGAAACCTACGGCTTTCAGAAATTACCTTGTTAGCACAGCCGTTTGTTCCCCCCAAATGTAAACTCCCCAAGAGCATCCTGTCCCCCAGATCCAAAAATGCCTGGCCACAGAGGCCCCACTGGTTTGCTGAGTGACTGAATGACCTCCATGAGCTTCCATCTCTGTCTCAGGACCTTTTTTTTTATTTTTTATTTTTTTATTTTATTGATTTTTTACAGAGAGGAAGGGAGAGATAGAGAGTTAGAAACATCGATGGGAGAGAAACATCGATCAGCCGCATCCTGCACATCTCCTACTGGGGATGTGCCCGCAACCCAGGTACATGCCCTTGACCGGAATTGAACCTGGGACCTTTCAGTCCGCAGGCCGACGCTCTATCCACTGAGCCAAACCGGTTTCGGCATCAGGACCTTTTTACACTCAAAAATTACTAGGACTTCAAGAGGCTTTTGATTGTGGAAAATATATATTTGTTAAGAAATTAAAACAAAAAAATTAAAAAGTATGTATTTGTATATATTTTTACAGACTTTGGGGGGGGGGGGAGAGGGAGAGAGGGAGATTGATTGAGATTGGTTGTCTCCTGCACACACCCTGACCAGAGGTGGAACCCACAACAGTGGGTATGTGCTCCGATCAGGAATCGAACTCGCCACCTTCTGGTGTACAGGATGACGGATGCTGCAACCAACGGAGCATGGACCAGAGCAATGTATTAATTCATTTAAAAATAATAAATGTGGAGAGCAGCTACAGTGTTTGGACAGGTTCAAGCCTCGGACTGATGAGAGGGCACAGTCCTCTCGTGGCCACGTGCAAGTCCCAGCGTGGAGGGCAGAGCCCGCCCAGCACAATTATAGCCAACAGCCGTAGTTGTGAGCTTGAACCTATGGTCCAAACACGTGGCCCCACGTGCCTGAGTGATGTGGGCTTGATAGCGTTCAGGTGCATGCAGTTGAGTAGGATCGAAACCCGCGAGAATGTTGTAAACATCTTGACCACGCCCTTACTTTGCCTGGTGGAATCTGCTATAAAATAAAGACATGGCTCATAGCCCATGGCGCTGTGTCTCCATCAGAGGAGCAGCATCCCGCTGAGACCCAGCTCATTCTCGTCTGTCTTTTCTCCATCCCTCACTGCCCCAACTCAACTCAGGTTCACCCTTGGCCGGCAGCGGCACTAATAAACCCATTACAAATTATCTTAAGATCAATGACTGTGCATATCCTGTAGCTTCAGGAAAACACTGGAGAGAGAGAGAGAGAGAGAGAGAGAGAGAGAGAGAGAGAGAGAGAGAGAGAGAGAGAGAGAGAGAGAGAGATGAGAGAAATAGCTCTGAGTGTTGTTATGCAAATAGTCCTGACCTCTGAAAGGTTCCCAGGAACCCTGGGGCCACTCTTTAAGAACCTTTAATTTAGCTTAACCTCCTCCTTTTATATGTAGGAGGAATGAGGTCCAGAGAAGTAATGGTGATAGTTTTGAAGTCAGGAGTCTATTGTTAGCCCAGGGTCATATAATTACGTTTTCCGTGCAAAGCAGACAACATCTCTGTTTAAAAGATAAGAAAGCGGAGGCACAGAGAGCCTCAGGAGACACCTGACCACCACCATCTGATGGTGGATGCCTGCTGTGTCAGGGTTGGCATTCAGGGCCTCCCACCTCTTGTTGGACCTCCCTCATCCCCTCCTCTCCTGATGCCAGGCCTTGTGACCGAGTGGGGCTAACCGAGCTCAAGGCGTCTGGCTGAGAAGACAAGGATGCATAAATACATAAAAAACATAAATATGGACACAGGGTCGCATTGGACTCAGCCGTGGGCAAACTACGGCCCGCGTAAAAAAAAAAAAAAAGACCGTACCCTTTTATGTAATGATGTTTACTTTGAATTTATATTAGTTCACACAAACACTCCATCCATGCTTTTGTTCCGGCCCTCCGGTCCAGTTTAAGAAGCCATTGTGGCCCTCGAGTCAGAAAGTTTGCCCACCCCTGGACTAGATGCTAATGTGTGCTGCCCATTAAGTGTGCTGCTCGTTGAGGGACAGAGTGTTCCTGAGGCCTGATGCATAAGGGAAACATCGCGGAGGCAGTGAGGAGGCCGGGAAATGAGTGAAGAAAGCAAACCTCCGCGGCTGTCAGCTGGAGCAGCGAGTAGTGGCGGCAGACACGAGTCTGACTCCACCAACTTTATGAGCCAGACAAGAGCCCCTATAGGCAAACTCAGATGAACCACAGTACATGTTCTGTTCATATTAAGTGACCACATATCTAACTAGAGATGGCTATAAATGCTAGGTAACTAATAATAATAACAAACAAACAAAAAAAAAGGCTGGAACCAGATGAGGATAGAATGCAGTTTGAAAGAGAAAAGGAGCCGAACTCAGATGAAGGAATGAAGGATTAGAGGATGGTGGAGGACAAGAAATGTACATGCCTGTGCAATGAAAAAAAGCAAGTACTGTTAATAGACTGTCCAGAAATTCCTATATATGTACAGGCAAACACATAATACATGAATTTACTTAACATTTTTTTAAATTGTGGCAAAATACACAAAACATAAAGTTGACTATCCTAACCATGTTTAAGTTCACAGTTCAGTAGTATTACGTATACTCACATTATTATGCAACCAATCTCCAGAACTTTTTCATCTTCTAAAACTGAAACTCTACACCCATTAAACAATTCTCCACGTCCCCCTCCTCCTCTTGGCAACCACCGTTCTACATTCTGTTTCTGAGTCTAGATACTCTAGGTATCTCATGTAAGTGGAATCATACAGAACTTGCCTTTTTGTGACTGGCTTGTTTCACTTAACATAATGTTCTCAAGGTTTATTCATGTAGCAATTCCTTCCATATGTCAATTTCCTTCCTTTTTAAGGTTGAATACTAGTCTATTGTATGAATGTTCAACAATTTGCTGGCTCATATCACATCAATTAATTGCTGTTGTTTTAAGATTTTTAATTATTTATATGTTTTTATTGATTTTAGAGAGAGGAAGGGAAAAGGAGAAGAGAGGTAAAAACATTAATGATGAGAGAGAATCCTTTGATCAGCTGCCTCCTGCACGCCCCCACTGGGGATTGAACCTGCAACTTTAGGCATGTGCCGTGACCTGAAATAAAAAATGAATTCCTGGTTCATGGGTTGATGCTCAAACACTGAGCCACACAGCTCAGGCTCAATTAGTTTTTTTTGTGTGTGTTTTTAAAAACATATACATTTATTGATTTCATAGAGGAAGGGAGAGGGAGAGAGAGATAGAAACATCAATGATGAGAGAGAATCACTGATCAGCTGCCTCCTGCATTCCCCCTACTGGGGATCCAGCCCGCAACCCAGGCATATTCCCTAGACAGGAATCAAACCTGGGACCCTTCAGTCCACAGACCGATGCTCTATCCACTGAGCCCAACCAGCTAGGGCTCGATTAGTTTTCAATATGAATTTTTCACATGTACTATTCTGTAGCCTGTTTTTTGTCTGTTTGTTTGTTTTGTTTAATAGTACTACTATGACATCTGTCCACATAAACACTTATATAGCTACATTATTTTTTAATGGCTATGTAGTATTCTACCACATACTTTTCCTATGATTTATTTCCCTGGGAACCCTTTGAGACACATTTAATTTTTTATAATGTATAATAAACAGTGCTGCATATATTTCCTTGCACATGTGTAAGAGTATATCTGTAAGACAAATTTCTAGAAGTACAATGCCTGGGTCAGAAGCTGTATATTTTTCATTTTGATAGACATTGCCAAAAGATCTTTACAGAGGAACATAGACTTTACACTCCCAACCAGGGATGTTAGTGGCAAATTTCAAAAGAGGTTGTTTTTTAAAGCAGGAATAATTTCTCAGAAGGCCTCACACTCTGGATATATAAATGGGAAAGACTTGTGATATTATTTCAGCTCAGATGCTCTATTGTTGTTTACTTGTAATGCATGAGGTCTTATCTTCCTAGCTAGATGCTAAGAGCCTCAAGGGTGGACATAATTTATTATGCCCAACCCCACTTCCACATTAGTTTGGTCCCATGAACTTGCCAGCACTTATTAGATTCATACATGGAAAAATGACAGTTTTTTCAAGTTCAAAATAAAGAGGTCTTAAGTCTTCTTTTTTCTTTTCTATTTTTTTTTTTTACAATAAACATGTATATTTATTTTAAATCAGTTTGGTACATTCTGTTTTTCTTGTGTAGCTGTTCAAAGTGAAATGCCTGTAGTCACTCAATTCTGACATCAACAATAATAACAGCCACTGATTTATTTTTGAGCATGTACAATGAAATAGGTATTGTCTTAAAATGCTTGGCATGTACCATCTCACTCAAAGATTACCAAATGAGAAAGCTATTACTCTTATCTGTATCTTCAGTGTTTCTCAACCTGTGGGTCGCGACCCCTTTGGCGGTCGAACGACCCTTTCACAGGAGTCGCCTAAGACCATCCTGCATATCAGATATTTACATTATGATCCATAACAGTAGCAACATTACAGTTATGAAGTAACAACAAAAATAATTTTATGGTTGGGTCACAACATAAGGAACTGTATTTAAAGGGCCAGAAGGTTGAGAACCACTGCATTAGGGGAAAGTGAGGCACAATGAGGTTAACTGACTTGCCCAAGGTCATATGTTAAAAGTCACAGGTTTCCAAAGAGAATTCTATTTTTTTTTATTCTGAGGTCTGTGCTTTTCATTTCCGCACCATATTATCATGTCATATAAAATTCAACTTAATCTAATTTACCATCCATGCAATGATCAACCATACCTCTACCATTTCCCATGGAGCTGTCTGAGATTTGAATTGGGGTAAAGTGACTAGACGTTTCCTCATTTGTGTAAGATCCCCGTTTAGGGGATATTATCTTTTAGAAAGTGGTTATTATTTCCAAACATTCCTATTGTTCCCAACTATGGATATACTTATGAAAGAAGATTCTTTCTTAGATAAAAATCACGACTTTCTTCAAATTGTAAATTTCACATGCAAAAGAGAAAAAGCCCTAGAGAAGAATCCCACCTATTTTTACTAAGGCTTACTTGTGAACCCCAAATTTTAGAAAATGACAAGCATGATAGGATTAAAACTACTTTGAACTTTCATACAATAGTCTTATCACACTTTAGAACCTGAAAGAGGCTTGGTTATAGTGAGAAATATTATCATATAACAAGCAATATCTTTATATGTGTGTCTCCTTGGCCATGGAAATAGCATCCATAAGAAAACATGGCATCCATATTCAGTTTTTAAACTGTAAAAGAATGAACAAGAAATCATACATTTAAAAACAAAAAAGGTTTTTTTGATGCAATCACCCTTCATTAGAATGGAATGATGGTTTAGAGGACTGTTAACTTAGAACCAAAATTCTCATGATATTATCAAGTGCAAAATCTGCTGTAATAGTCTATCCCAGTTGAGTGTGCAGGGTCTATACAGCGCCCCCTGGTGGCTGTAACTAACCGGAACAAACATCCACAAACATCCAAGAGCATACCTTTTTCTTCCTTTTACGGGTAACATTAGATTTATTGCTGCTTTTCCAAATAGATCCGAAGGTGTCCGAAGAGATCTGAGGAGTGACTGTAACTTTTAAGACTGGGAGTTTACCTGAGAGGGGGAAGAACATAGTAGTAAATGGATAGGATATCTCACAACTCTCCATTTCATGGACGGAGTCGTAGGCTTCTGAAAGGACCATCTCCCACATTCTTTTAAAAAAAAAATAATAGGTTTTTATTGATTTTTAGAGAGAGAGAATGGGGAGGGGAAGAGGGAGGGGGAGAGAGAGAGAGAGAGAGAGAGAGAGAGAGAGAGAGAGAGAGAGAGAGACATCGATCAGCTGCCTCCTGTATACCCCCACTGGGGATAGAGCAATTAGGGAATGTGCCCTGATCGGAATCAAACCAGTGATCTTTCGATGCATGGGATAACACTCAACCAACTGAGCCACACCAGCCAGGGCTCCCACATTCTTATGGGAAACTTTCATCAGACTTAATACCCTTTCCCTGTATCTTCTTGATGTGAGTGACCCGTGACAATTTATTTCTGTAATAACTCCCACTACTCCTCTCTTTTCTTCTCCCACTGTTTATATATTTTACCTGATGGTTGTGGTAGCCTTCTATCTGGACTTCCTAACCCCAGATTTCCCAACATCAAATTCATCCTGGACTCTACTTCCAGTTTAATCATCTGAAGCAAAATTCTGATCCTGGTATTCATCAGCTCTTTATTTTTAGTGGATCTCTCTTGTTTTTATTTGTCCAGCTTCCGTTTTAGCTTCTTTCTTGAGTTTTCTTTGGGGTTTTACTCCCTTGCCCTTCAGGGGTGAGCACATAACTCAGAGCTGGCCACTTCGTGTATTTCTTCTCCCTGCACAGTGATTGTTAACAGGTGTGCATGTGACTCATTATAGCCTAATGAAATCAGGAGAAAGGCTCTTTCTTGAGTTTAAACTAGCAGAATGTAAACTTCTGGCTAATGCTACCCAACTTGTCACTGTGTGGGAAGAATTTCCTGAGAATAACGTCAACACAGATGCAGATCTTCTAGGAGATAGAGGTAGGTAGCATAATTTGAAGCCCTGAATCCAGCTGGACCTATAGCTAGAAACACCCCTGGACGTTTAGTTATATAAGTCAACAAATTTCCTGGTTTTTTTAAAAAAAATATTTTTAAATTGATTTTAGAGAGGAAGGGAGAGGGAGAGAGATAGAAACATCAATGACGTGAGAGACCCATTGATCGGTTGCCTCCTGCATGCCCCCTACTGGGGATTGAGCCTGCAACCCAGGCATGTGCCTGGATCAGGAACTGAACCAAGACCTCCTGGTTCGTAAGTCAACGCTCAACCACTGAGTCACACTGTCCAGGCTCAACAAATTTCCTTTTGTATTTAAATCACTTTGAGTTGGTTTTGCATCACTTGAAACCAGGAGTTCTCACTGATTTCCTAAAAAGGCCTATGATATCATGACTTATAAGATGACCAAAATATATTTCTCATGTGTATTTGGCCTTAGTTCATGGTTGGGAGCTCCCAGCTCCCAAAACCCTTGGAATTTCCTGAGTAATAAGAGAAATGAGGACAGCTTTTGTTATAATATTTGGCCCCTTGCCCCAGTTCCTAAAAACTGCTTCAGAGCCATAAAGGTGAGATGGTGTCTTGTTATACATAACAAGCCCCTTTCAACCACAACTGAGTTTATATTAATGCATTGACTTTTGGAAATCCCCTTTAAGAATGGCTGTTGGTTGCCAAAGGAACCAACCATGAACAGAAGGTTGGAACTTTCAGTCCCACCCCCTGACAGAGGATGAACCAATCACCAACAGCCAGTGATTTAACCAACCATATCTCTGTAATAAAGCCTCCATAAGGACCCAAAAGGATGGAGTTCAGAGAGCTTCTAGGATGGGAACCAGGATGCTTTCACATGCCAGCACCCAGGTCCAACTCCATGAGGACGGAGCTCCTCTGTTTGGAATGTCACCCAAGGTATCATTGTCTGTTGATTTGTATCCTTTAATATCTTTTGTAATAAACTGGCAATCTAGTGAGTAAACTGGTTTCCTGAGTCCTGTGAGGGGCTCTAGAAAATTAATTAAACCCAATGAGGGGGTCCGTCAGAAGCACAGGTGACAACCTGGTCTTACAATTGGCTTCTGTCTTGTGGGGCAGGGCCCTTACCATGTGGAATCCGATGCCGTCTCCAGGTAGATAGTGTCAGGATTGAGTTGAATTGTAGGACACCCAGCTGGTGTGAGTAGTACAGCAGTTCGGAATGAGCGGATGTTGTCAGGTAGAAGGGACACAAACTGAAAACACTCTACCTGTCTTTCTGGCTCTCAGGGCTTCAAGTATGTCAACAGCAGCCATTTCTCCCAGGACATTGTTTCCAAGGTCAAGTTCCCTTAAGTGGGCAGAGTATTTGATCAGGCTGATCAAAGAAAATGACAAAACAAAATGGCGTTGTTCCAAGCATGGTTATTCAGAGGAACTCACTCCTGTTATTTTGGAGTATGCTCTCTTCTTAGGTCCTCTTCACCCTCCACCTCCAACCCCCCTTCCAATGATGATGCACTGACCCAGTTTGAAACTAGAGAAATCCTGAATCCAGTTTTTTTCCAATTTAATCTCTAGTTTGGATGTGTACTCTAAGTAAGTTGGTAGGATAAGGATTTTTGGTTGCCTTAAATCTCCCATTTATTTATTCATTCATTCATTCATTCATTCATTCAAAAGGTATGGTATAGTATTGTCAGGGCCTCCCAGTCTTATAGATTTCACACAGCAGTAAAGTATTAAAAAACAAACAAACAAAAACTTGGGAGAACTGACAAAGGTCAGTTTGGCAAATTTTAGTATGTCAAATAAATAACAACTCTCACCTAGCAACACTATAACAGAACAAATATTTTACATGAAATTAGAAAGGCCATAGTCTTGAAATAAAGGATAGTTTTTTTAAAAAACAAACAAACCAACAAACAAACATGTTTTTATTGATTTTTAGAGAGAGGGAAAGGACGAGCTAGAAACATAGATCAGTTGCCTCTTGCACGCCCCCTACTGGGGATGGAGCCTGCCACCCGGATATGTGCCCTGACTGGTAATCGAACCAGTGACCTCTTGGTGCATGGGTTGATGCTCAATCCACTGAGCCACACCAGCTAGGTTAAAGAGTAGCTTTTTAAATCAAGTTTAGCTTCATGAAAAATGAACACTCTGCCTGTCTTTATTTTTCCAATTTCATTGAGGATTATTGAACCAACTTGTCTTTGGGAATTTCTGGCATCATGAATAGACATGGAATCTGGGTGAAGGCCTGGGTTACTACGCAGCTTCTATTTTTTGTCAATCATGTGATCATGAGCAGGCGATGTGCCTCTTGGGCCTCACTTTGCTCATCTCTAAAATTGGCCTGAAAAGGGCTATTCTGCCTCTTTCATAACGTTGTGGTGAAAACATAATGCAGCAGTTCCTATGAAAGCATCTTGCAAAATGCAATAGCAAGAATGCTATTATAACGAGTGCATGCTTACTACATGCATATTATTATGTGCCTAACATTGCAGGGATAAAAAGGAATTTAACACATGGCCTCTACTCTTGAAATAAACTGAATAAAACAATTTTGAGTTTTTACCGTGTGTGGGGATATGAAATTTCAGTTGGGGTCAATAAGTGAGTACAGGCCATACTTTTGCTCTCTGTACACACTTTCTATGATTCTCAGCCAGAATTCAAGGCCAGGGCTGAGTGATCCCGCCAGACTCTCCCTCTTGAAGGTCTTGCTCCCAAGGATACAGTCTGTCTAATCAGGACTTGACCAACTTTGGGTTTCTGAATGGCCTGATTATGTCCAATTGCTTCATACAAGCTGGGCGAGAACAGGCTTGCTTCAAGGAGGAAGCAGGGATGCACAGAAGGAGGGTGGAGAGCGTTGAAGACAAACTTTACAACGCCACAGTTCTGCATCTAGGTCTGATTTCAGAGGCCCTGGGTTTAACCACTACTCTACACAGTCTCACGTCAGCTGTGGTTTTATAGAGCACTCACTATGCATCGGATGTGATCACGGCCACCCACATGCCTACGCCCTGTGCCTGGCACAAAGGGCCTTCCCAGGGTATGAGTGTGGCTGAATACAGCCCAGCTCTGCTGGCTAAGTCCTGGGCCCTGAAACATAGATCTGGGAGGGTAACTTCCTCGGACTCACTGGCCAGCGGTGGTGCCTCTTTTCATTCATCTGCCCAGAGGGGTCCTTTTTTCCAATTTGTATTAAGGTGCTAGCTGTCTTTAGCAGCCTACATACACAATCCCATTCAACCCTAACACAGTCTCTTGAGTTAGATAATATTATCCCCATTTTTACAAATGAGGAAACAGATACAGAGGAGCTACTTCACTTGCCTAAGCTTATCCTGCTAGGAAAGCGTGGAGTGAGAGTGTGAGCTAGGCAGTCTGCTCGAGAAGAACCATGAAGTATGATTCAAATATGCCAAGAAAGTGTTCTAATCCCCAGTGTTCCTCAGTTATTATGCTTTCAAAATGAGAACAAAAAGATGTAAGTGTTCAGTGTCAGAATTAAAAGGACACGGGGAAGGGACTACCAGCGCTGGTGCACATTAGCTGTGTTTACATCCCCCAGCACACAGAGCTGGCCGTTAGCTGCACAGGGCCCCATGCTCAGATGGGCTCCTCACTTGGTTCAGTGCTCTGCTATTTCCATCCTAAAATTCTTAATATTGAACAAAGGCCCATGAGTTTGCATTTGCACTGGGTCCCCACAAATTCTTTTTTTAAAAAAATATATTTTTATTGATTTCAGAGAGGAAGGGAGAGGGAGAGAGAGCTAGAAACATCAATGATGAGAGAGAATCATGGATTGGCTGCCTCCTGCATGCCCCACACTGGGGATCAAGCCCGCAACCCAGGTACATGCCCTGACTGGGAACTGTGACCTCCTGGTTCGTAGGTTAAAGCTCAACCACGGAGCCCTGCCGGCGACCAGACTGGGTCCCCACCAATCTGCAGCCAGTTCTGCTGTTATCTGTAGTGTGGCAGAGCAGAAAGCAAAATGACGGTCCGCCATGCCATTTCTGTGAGTGTAGGCCTTCCCTTAGGATCTCATCCCGAGACCAAGATGGGCTACTGCTTCTCTCCCAGAGAGGGAAAACCTCACTTAGCACTGTGAACAACTTGCAGGTAGATAACTGTCCCCATGACTTATCCCAAGTACTAGTTTTGGAAGATGAACAAATAAAATCTCTCAATTTTCTACTCACCATGTTAAGATCTGAGTGAATTCCAACAAACTGTTTTCTCCATCTTTTCCTTTTCCATCTATGCCATTATCTGCCAAATACAATTTCACTAACCAAGGACCAGCTTCAGTCAAACCTTTAATTTTTCTCTTGATTCCTACGAGAAAATTTGTGTTGTATTATTTTACACAATAGTTCCCCCGTTTACCACAGGTTTTAAAAAACTGTACAGACTTATTTCACTCGTGTGGGTAAATGCATTTTGTAATCCAATTAAGGAAATATAAGTAATTTAAGAACTCATTTTAAAAAAACACTCAGTACATCCTTCGTTCTTCACAACAACAAGCTCCAAATTGCTCTGAATGAAAGGAAATTTCATTGAAGACTGAGATTGCTTCCTTTACTTTTGCTGAAGAAGAAAGTCAAGGTCTCTGGATTTTCTTGATAGAATGATGAGTTGTCCGCAGATCCTGGGGAAGTGAGAGCCCTTACACGGAGTTGGGTCTTTTTAAAGAGCCTGTAAAGTTGTCACATTTTCTTTGCTCTCAAGAAGGACAAATACAAAGGCAAAAGAACCATGCTGCCTTCACAGACTGCATGACTGAGGCCAGTGGTCCTAGAGTCTGGTCCACCTTTGTCCGTCTGTCCAGCTTGCCTCACATTCAGTGTCAGTGCTGCGGAGTTTACCACCAGTTCAAGTTTAGGAGTTTAGCAGAGAAAAAATACAGGAAGGGGATGGAGAAAGAGGAAGGGTGTGGCTATAATGCTGGCGCATCCACTCAGTAAGCGTGAGATGGCAGATCTGAATCTCCAGTCCCAAAGCCAGGTTGCTTTGGGGGGCGGGGGCTCCAAGTGTTTGAAGTTATATGTTTCATGTGCAACAGGACCCTCTAAACACTAGCCAACTACTTCATCCTGGGGCTCAACTGAAAAACAATAATCTGTTCCAAAGCCAGGAAGAAACCGGGTGGGACTTGGAGATCATATATCTACATGTGGTTTTGTGGGGGCAATTTAAGGGATTTTAAAGGCTCGCTTAGCTATGCACTAATTTTGCCTGACATGTAAAAATCTATTGATTTGAGAACATAACCCCAGGGCTAGACAGGAGTCTTGGACTTGAGTGCATTCAGCAGGCGATATTTTTGAGCTCCTATTATGTGCCAGGCACTGCTTGAGGCGATGGGAATCCAACAGGAAACAGAACTCCCTGCCCTCATGAAACTGACAGGAAGTGAATGCTAACTAGTGAGAAGAGAGAAGAGTTGGTGATAAGTAAGTTATTTTTTAAAGTATGTTTTAAAAAAAGATTCCATTGGTTTCTTTGGATATGCATCTAATCTGCTGGATTACTGAATAAAAGTGACAGGATTTCTTTGCCTCTAAAACACAGTCGGAGGGATGAAAACTAGCCTGTCCTTTGGTTTTATTGGGGATACGCCTAGTTTGTCCAAATTTTATTTGCCCTTATATCCAGGGCATGGGGATGATAGCAAATGACAAACATAAATCATACAACAGTGCTAACATACTAGATTAGTATCTGGCACATTGTAGGTGTTTAATAACTGTTCGTTGAATAAATGAGTGAGTCCATGAATAATAGAAACAGAGTGCAATCATTCTGTGGAAATTTCTATCTCACTGTTCATTGTTTTTCCAAGTCTAGTGTAGATAATAATGCCTTGAGATTCATGAACATACATAGAATATGATATTTCTATTTATCCGACCTCTTCACGAATATAAATGTCTTTGGAAAGTTAAGGTTATGATAAAACACGAGGCCAATGGGGCCACGGCCAAAGGCCACATTCCTGTGCAAGGAGAGAAGCAGCCTCAGCCAGTCTACATCCCCAATGTAGCCAGCCTGCTCCAACGTGTGCCATTGGAGAGGGAGGGCGCTCTCTGCCTGCCATTGGCCTGGTGCAACTCACATTCCCATGGGAAGAACAATCCAAATCTCCCTCCAACTGGTGGTAAGGGAGGTAACAACATCATCTTTGCTCATGAAAACTATCAGGTTGGAAAATGCTAGTTGAAACTACTCTCCAGAATTTCGACCTCCAGCGAGTCACAGTGCCCTATGAGAGGGGACCACGGCTGGTGCTGCTGCTCAGTACAGTGACTTCCTCTTCTGGGCTTTTCACCAAAGTCCAAGCAGAAACAAATCCTTTTTTATGGATGGCAAACAACTTCCTTAGAGTACAGGTGAGTCCATGCTCAGCCCCTGGTAACACTTGATCCACTCCAGCTGTGCACCTCGACCTATTTTTCACCTAATCTTACCTTTCTTTCTTTCTTTTTCTTTTTAAAAATATATTTTATTGATTTTTTACAGAGAGGAAAGGAGAGGGATAGAGAGTTAGAAACATCGATCAGCTGCCTCCTGCACACCCCCTATTGGGGATGTGCCCGCAACCAAGGTACATGCCCTTGACCGGAATCGAACCTGGGACCCTTCAGTCTGCAAGCCGACGCTCTATCCACTGAGCCAAACCGATTAGGGCACATTTCTTTACTTTAAAACAAAAACAAGCTCACCAACGACCACTTTCATTTATTCCCCTCTGTCTCAGAGAAGTTGGCAGCGGCATAGCAATGCCAATTGTGCTAAGAGGCACAGTAACATGGGCAGAATCTCCAGGTTTAAAATCTCTCTCTGAAGAGTGCTGTGTGACTCCCCAGAAAGTCACCTAACTTCTCTGAACCTAAATTGCTTCGTTGCTAAAACAGAGATCACAATACTCATCTCTTAGATGCATTGTGAAGATGGACTGGGAGGCGTGGTGAAGTAACAGTTGTAGAGCACTTAGAGTGCAGTACATAACACCGCCTCACTTCCCAGTTTCGTTTCTGGATTTGGTAAGTCACTGAAACACTGGAATGGGGGCTACCTGGTGAAGAATCTCTCCGTGTAAGGTGTCCCCCCTTTTGCCACGGGCTTCCTGAGGATCAGACACATATTGCTGACAACTGCACGTGTTCCCTGGAAGCCACCCCATAGATCCAATATGAACCCTCCCAACTCTGTGCTTCCCGCCACTTGCTCTTTGGTTAATTGCCAAGATCCCCCCTTTGTTCCTGACTTCAGAATCTTTCTTCCCACGCTCACTGAACCCAATACCAGGTGTTGTCAGTTCTCCTCCTAAATACGTTTAGACTCTTATCTGTCCAACTCTGCAGCCTCAGCTCTGTGCTTTATCCTCTCTTCCCTGCACTGTTGTAAAAGTCTCCACACTCATCTCCTATGACATCACTGCCTTGCTTCGAAAGCACTGTGGTTCTTCCTTCGCACACAGGAGAAAGTCTAACTCTTCAAGGGCATTCACGGCTTTGGCCCTGTGGGTCCACAGGCCTTTTCAGCAACATCCCTGTCATTCTCCTCATGACCACTCTGTGGCGGGTGCCACGCCTCCCACATGCCCAGCCCTCCCCACTCCAGGCACTTTCACGTCGGACCTTTTGTCCTGTGGTTCCCTTTGCCAGAATGCCCTCTCTTTTCCAGCTGATGATCCTTTTCAAATTTCTCCCAGAGAGAGCTCTTTTTCTTACATAGACCAGCACCCAAAGGTTAAGTATAAATTTTCACGGAACTGGAAGTTCCCCGGAGAAGATTCCTCAGCTCGCCCTTCCTTCTCTGGCCTCTTCTGGGACTGCCAGGATAGGTGGGCATCAGATTGTTTTGCTTAATGACTCCTCAAATGCTCATCTGTGGATGCCAGGTCCCGGTAGGATCTTCTTCTTGAGGTAGATATTTTTTGGGGGGGGAGGGTAGATTTTTTTTAAGCTTGTTAAAAATAGCTCCCTCCTCACCCCCCACCCCCGCCCCATCAACAAGAAGCATGTGTGACTGCCTGTGTAATTACCAGCAATTTATAAACCAGAACATAAATTTGCATTTGCCTGATTGCAGGTCTTAAGGAAGCAAAGTATAATTAGTGTTGGTTGATTCACACTTCAGACCTTGGAACCTGTCCACAAAGGTTTCCACCGTTTGGTATCACCCCAGGATAAAATCCCAAGTAAAGTAATTTCAGGGTTATGACCAGTAACTTCCTGGTTTGGAACCAATAAAGTTCTTTTGAAGATTACATCTTGACTTTGGAACTTGACCTTTGAATTCCTTAATGCTGTTGGCATGTCTATGGACTGTGGCTATGATAGAAGCAGTAATGCCTTATTTGGGGGGAAGTGAATTTGCCACTTGGGTGGCATTGGTACTCTAGTAAATGTCTAACAATCCCAGGCTGTGGACTGACCGTTTTATGGGTTTGTACTCTAGGAGAGTCTTTCTAAGCTATGGTGTGGGGCTTGGGCTGGGAAGCAGAGCAGGCGTAGGTGATGGGGCACTCCTGGGTCTTTCAGGAACGTTTGGGGCCTGGGGTGACATGGCAGGACTGGCTGAATGGGGCTCAGGGAAGATAACCGCAGATGACTGTTCCTGATGACCTTGCAGTGACTTCCAGTCTTGAGCCATCTTCTGGCTCTTTATGGGCTGATGGGCCTGTGACTAGGCATCGGCCAAGCCAACGTCACTCATTTGAGTGCTGACACCCTCCAGGCCCAGGGTCCCCAGTTCTCATAGAGAGCCCTGGTTCAGAGCCATGGGGCTCAGAGGTGGGCCAGACAGAGTCTAGAAGAGACAGAGAAGCCAGAACAGAAATGGGCCTGGGCCCTGTTTGTTCTGTGGTTGCCATGACAGAGAAAAGACATCTAGGAGCTTCACTCTGCCTCTGATTTTCTTCACTGAGCAAAAGAAATAAAAAATAGGCAATCTGATTTTCTTCCACGGTTAAAGCAGTTGTGGTTCTCAAAGTTAGACCCTGGACTAAGAGCATCAGCATCACGTGGGAACTTGACAGAAAAGCACGTTCCCGAGCCTTATGTCTGACGTACTGGTTCAGACCTTGGTGCTTGCGGAGCAATCTGTGTTCAGCGGAACTTTGAGGCAGGACTGACTTGGACAAACAGACATTTAACTTCTAGAAGCACAGACATGGAATTCCTTGCCTCTTCTAATAACGTATAAATGGCTGCTAAATGTAACGCTGTTGAGTTCTTGTAATTATGCATTTGGAGGGGACTTATAAAAGGTGTCAGGCTTCTGTGAGTGCTGTGAGTTCATCTTTCCAAGCAGCAGGCCCCAAGCCTGCTGCCCACAAAGGAGGAGCATAAAAATAGTTTGTCTGTTTCCAGTTGGGGCCAAATGGAAACCATCTGGACTCCTTGCCCAGGAGGCTGATGTGTAACAGTTCAAGCTGACCCTTTATTTTGAAACAAGTAGAACTCTTCTACCAAAGGCCAAACTCACCCCCAACCAAAGACCTTATGACTTCAAAAGAATCTATCCCATGTGAGGAGCTGTGTTTACATTTGCTTTGCATGAAAATGGTCTCCTCTTATGAGAAACTATAAAATAAATGTATACTCAATACAAGTTGTTTCTGTTGATTTGAGGCACAGGATCCCTTGGGTGACACAAGACTTTAATGGCTCCCATTTTCTACTGGGTTAAGTCCAACTCTTCACCTGACATGTGAGGGCCTCTTTCATGTGCCCACATCTCCTGCCAGGTCACCTCCCCACCCTCTTGTGCCAGCTGCACTGGGCTTGGGGCTTGCCTTGAAAATGCCTGCCTGCCTCACTAAGGTCTTTCCTTACGTAAGTCCTTTCTTTCTTTCCACATCAGGTCGGTTCTTGGCTCATTCACAGAAACTTCTCTCCAGTTCTATATCTGGGGGAGAAGGCCCTTCTCTAAACCCAGGTTCCACGTTTGGCCCTTGGCAGATGCTGCTTTTTGTTGTTTCCTAGGTGTGTATCCTGCTTCTAAACTACATGCTGAGTTGAATTTTGTCTCCTCCCAAAGGCCTAACCCCCAGTTCATCAGCATGTGACCTTATTTGGGAACAGGGTCGTGGCAGGTATACTTAATCTAAGTCATATCTAGAGTAGAGTAGAGTGGGCCCTAATCCAATGTGACTGATGTCCTTATAAAAGGGGGACATTTGGACACAGACACACACAAAAGGAGAACGCCAAGGCAAAGACTGGGGTGATTTCAAGCCAAGGATACCAAAGGTTGCCAGCAAAGCTCCAGAAGCTATGAGAGGCCTGGAACCCATTCTCCCTTAGGCCCTCTGGGAGGAACCAACCCTGCCAACATCTTGATCTTGACTTCCAAGCTCCAGAGCTGTGAGACGTGTGTCTCTATTGTTTAAGCCACCTGGTCTGTGGTACTTTGTTATGGCAGCCCTAGGAAACTAATATACCCCTGAAAGGCAGGAGCACACGTGTGCCCCACCCAGAGATGGCACGTGATAACCATCTTTAGTTGAGGCAGCTACAAGGACCAGAAGGTCAGCTCCTTGGGACAGGAACCAGGGACACCCCTTACTGCATCCCTCACACACCAGCCCAGATGGCCTTGAGGACAGTTTCTTTCATCAGTGTGACTGAAAGAGTGACCAGAGGCAGCCGGCAGTTCTTCAAGGCCTCTAACCTCTTGAATTTTTCCCTTTGGAGTAATTACTGTAGCAGTAGGTGCCCACAGCCCATGAAAAGAGGAAGTGATTTCATGAAGGAAGTGAGAGGAATAATTGAAACAACAACAAAAAAATACCGTTTTTTCTCCTCTTCTTCCCTGAAGTAGCTTTCACAGTTCCAGATGACTTGGTCATCTGGTTCAAAGTTGAACTTCCTCTCTGCCTGGCTGTATGGGGGGGAAAAAAAAGGATTAAAAAAGAAAGCCTGTTCAAAGATGCATGGATGGGTTTTTGACACACTTAGATATTGGCTCTTGCCTTCATTTTACGAACAATTTGGGCAGAGATATTTCTCAGAAGAGAGAATTATCCCACCGATTTTCAAAATTGCATTCACTTCAGTTCAGTCCTGTCTTTTTCATATTTATTTCCTCAAAGACTTGAGGGAAACAAGTAACCAAGTAGGGCGCCGAGAATTTTCCTGCAAGGCCTCCCATAGATTCTTCACATCCCACAGCTGCCCTCTGTAAAATAGCTCCAAATCTCTGGGATTTGTAAGAATGTAGCAGAGAGGAACATATTTTTTGAAATATTTTATAAAAAATATTAGTGCATTATCTCTCTGGAGTCATATCACCCTTCTTTTTTTTTAGATTTTAAAATATTTTATGGTTATATATCTTAACAGATGCCTATGACCTGAATGCTCACCTCAGGCTAAAGGTAATTAGAAAGACTCTCCTGGAATACATACCCTTGTCCAGAATCGAACCTGGGACCCTTAAGTCCGCAGGCCAACGCTCTATCCACTGAGCCAAAGCACTCAGGGTTCACCCTTCTTTTTCTGTCTCTTGCACCCTACACCCCATCCACCAGGAAATGGTACCGATGTAGAAGCTGACCTCTCTCTACTACCCTCGTCTCACCTGGGTAGGCACCCCTTACCTGGTTGACAACAGCCTCCCAAAAGGACACCCTGCCCCTGCCCCACCCAGACAGTTTGCCACACAGATGGAGAGGTGCCTCTCAAACCTAAATCCTAACTACTCTGCTCCCTCCTAGCTAACAAGGCCCTTGACCCCAGGTCCCTGTTACCACCCTGCTTGCTCCTTGCTGTTCCTTGGGGCCTTGGTGCAGGCCATTCCCTCTGTCTGGAATGCTCTCCCCATTTATCCGCAGGCTCACTCCCTCACCTCTACTTCTGTACACAAATGCTACCTTTCCTAGGTGAACCACACTCAACCATCTGTTTGAAATCATACCCATCCTCCTTCCCCAGACTCCCACACTTGTAGCATATATATTTGTTCTGCCTTTCAGGAACTGCCTGGCTCCCACCCACCCTGCACACAGACACCCATGCAGCACACGCACGGCAAATGCGTTCCCAGCCTCTCCTCTGGGGCAGGCTCTCTGCTTCATGCACTAATGTCTCTCAAGCACCAGTACTTGGCATACACAAGGAGGGACACGATTGAGCACAGACACGTTGGGGAAGGAAGGAAAAAAAGAAAGAAAGGAGGGAGGGAGGGAGGGAGGGAGGGAGGGAGGGAGGGAGGGAGGGAAGGAGGAAGAAAGGGAGGGAGGGAGAGAGGGAGGGAGGGAGGAAGGAAGGAAGGAAGGGCATCATTACTAAGATTACATATTACACATTATGACAAGTAATTAAGAAAACAAACTGGTCTTTGGATAGTGAGGCAGTCATGCCTCTTTGTCAACAACAGAAATCAACTGTGCCTGACTCTGGTGGGAAGGAGAAGTTACTGGGAGGCCTGGGAGTAAGTAGCTCACAGAAGAGGAGAGAAAGCCAAACATTTGGGCCTTACAAAGTGGTGGCCTCAAAACATTATTGCTCTCATAGCACCCAAGGGGAATATTGAAAAGCTACCTGGTACATTTTGAGGTTGGCCCCTAATTCAAATTCTCCTAGGTAGTTAAGATGGGGTAGAAATTTCTTTTGAGTCTACAATGTCTTGGTGGCCTTTGGTTCAAAACAATTCACATACCAGACACATCTTGGGGTGACTCATTCTGAACCCCTACTGTCCTCTTAGGACAGGGGTGGGAACCTTGTTTCTGCCAAGGGCCATTTGGGTATTTATAACATCATTGGCAAGCCATTCTTAATTGTCAACTTAAAACTTAGCCGGCCCTATTTGGTCAAACATTTACTTAACTCACCCCTAATGTCTCCGCAGGGCCAGACCAAATGCTTTTGTGGGCCTTGTACGGCCTGCTGGTCGGAGGTTCCCCACTCCTGTCTTAGGAAGTAATTAAGGTTTAAATGAGGTCGTGAAGGTGGGTCCCTGATCAGATGGAATTAGTGTCCTTATTGGAGAGATATCAGAGAGTGCTGCGTGTGTGTGCACGTGCGTGTGTGTGCGTGCGCATGTGTGCATGTGGGTGTCTGTGTGAGTGCATGGGTGTGTATGTACATAGAAAGGCCATGTGAGGACACAGCAAGAGGGCGGCCATCTGTAAGCCAGGAAGAGAGCTCTTAATAGGAACTGAATCAGCTGGCACTGTGAGCTGGGATTGGCAGCCTCCTGAGCTGTGAGAAAGTAAGTGTGTTCTTTAACCACCCGCCTGTGGTATTTTGTTATGGCAGCCCGAGCAGACTGACACAGTTACCCAGAAGAATGCAGACGAGCTGAAATGCACTGGATGCACTAAACAAAAATTAAGGTTCTAGTGAATGTCAATGTTAGAGCCTGTTACAGTCAGCCTTAGAGGAAGAAAAGGACCTAGACATGTACTTGGGGTGGGTTTTATTGTTGCGACTGCTAAGATCCTGAGTAATGAGAGGAACTTACAAGAGGTTCTGTGTGCCGACCACTAACCTCAGGGCACGGCTCAGCGGGAGCAGTGTGCACCCTGTCCAGGCTGCCATGAAGAATGACAGGGCAGGCACTCTCTGTGGTCAGCTCTGACCCTGGCTTTTGTGGCTCTCAGGGAAAACAAATCCAGAACCCCTAAGACTAAGCCTTAATGCCCCTTTCAGCAGAAAACCAGTTGGAACAACCAGAATAGAACTTCACATTTCTTCCCTGCATCCTGTCACTTTTAAAAAAAATCCTTACTAACGGATATGTTTTCATTTGTGTATATATATATATATATACACTAGAGGCCCGGTGCACAAAAATTTGTGCACTCGGGGGGAAGGGGGGGGTCCCTCAGCCCGGCCTGTGCCCTCTAGCAGTCTGGGACCCCTCGGGAGATAACGACCTGCTGGCTTAGGCCTGCTCCGGGGTGGCAGAGGGCAGGTCCAATCCCTAGGTGCAGCCCCTGGTCAGGCTCAGAGCAGGGCCAATTGGGGGGTTGGGGCACCACCCCGTAACACTCAAGGCAGGGTCAATGGGAAGGTTGCGGCGTGACCCCCTGTCACGCACAGAGCAGGGCCAATCGGGGGGTTGGGGCACTGCCCCCTGTCACACACACAGCAGGGCCCATCAGGGGGGTTGGGGCTCCGTACCGTCATGCACAGAGCAGGGCCCATCAGGGGGTTGAGGAGCTCCCTTCTGTCACGCACAGAGCAGGGCCCATCAGGGGGTTGAGGAGCTCCCCCCTGTCACACACAGAGCAGGGCGGATCAGTGGGTTGGGGCACCGCCCTCTATCACCCACAGAGCAGGGCCGATCAGGGGGTTGGGGCGCCGCCACTCTCACACTCAGGGCAGGGCCGATGGGGAGGTTATGGCTCTACCCTGTCACACACAGAGCAGGGCCGATCAGGGTGTTTGGGCACTGCCCCCTGTCATGCTGATCCTGGTGCCGGGAGGCCTCTCGGCTCTGCTGATCCCGGTGCTGGGAGGCATATTACCCTTTTACTATATAGGGTAGAGGCCTGGTGCATGGGTGGGTGCCAGCTGGTTTGCCCTGAAGGGTGTCCTGGATCAGGGTGAGGGTCCCCACTGGGGTGCCTGGCCAGCCTGAGTGAGGGGATGATGGCTGTTTGCAGCTGGTCACACACCCTTCAGGGTAGGGGTCCCCACTGGGGTGCCTGGCCAGTCTGGGTGAGGGGCTGAGGGTTGTTTTCAGGCTGGGGGTGACTGAACTCCCAAACGCTCCTTTTTTCCTTTTTTTAAAAATTTTATTCTGGGCCAGCTTTAGCTTGAGGCTTGGCTCCAGCTCTTAGGCCTCCGCTCCTGAAAGTAGGTTTCTGGCCTTTGCATACAATGTTGCGAATCTGCTGGCTGAAGTCTGGTGGTATTTGTTACAATGTTTGAAACTGCAGGCGGGGAACGTTGGTTTCCTCCGTCACTGAGTCACTGAGGCAAGCAAGCCTCACGTTAGTTTCAAGCTGCCTGGCTGCCGGCCGCCATCTTGGCTGACAGTTAATTTGCATATCTCGCTGATTAGCCAATGAAAAGGGTAGCGGTCGTACGCCAATTACCATGTTTCTCTTTTATTAGTGTAGATATATATCTACTAGAGGCCCAGTGCATGAAATTCATGCAAGAGTAGGCCTTCCTTCCCCCTGTTGCCGGCACTGGCTTCCCGCTGGCACCCAGGACCCAGGCTTCCCTCGCAGCCCTGGCTTCGTCTAAAAGGTCATCCGGAAGGACATATGGTTTAATTAGCATATTATGCTTTTAATATATATATATATATATATATATATATATATATATTTGGAGAGAGAGGAAGGAAGGGATGTAGAGGAGAGAGAGACAGAGAGAGAGAGAAAGCTCAATGTGAGAGAGAAACATTGATCAGTTGCCTCCCACACATGCCCTCACCTGGGATCAAACCCACATCCTAGGTATGTGCCCTGACCAGGAATTGAACCCACAACCACTTGGTGCACAAGATGATGCTCAACCAACTGAGCCACCCGGCCTGGGCTCCTTGTCTTCACTTTTCCAGTCCCACACCTCTCACACCTGTCCCTGCCTGCCACACAACAATCCCTTAAAATGGTACTTTCACATTTCCAATGATTTCTTTAAAAGAAAATCACAGATTCACTTAGTTATTTAGATACCAAAGTTATAATATAGGACTTCATAAATAGGACCAGGGCTTTTTATAAGAATCTTGGTAGAAAATAGCAGAGGGAAAGTAATATTTGATAGCAGACATTGTTTTCCAGCTTCCTTTTGTATATTTGTTGGGGTGACTGAATTATCAAATTGAACTAAAAACCTGTATAATTTTGATACCATGAAAATACCTAAATGGGGGATAGCCATTGAATTTGTGAATCTGTGTTCATTACAAGTTGTTTGAGCTCAGTTCCACAAAGTAGCCCTGACTTGTGCTCTTTTTTTAAATAGGGCAAGTCAGCGAATAATTTCTTTTTAAAATTGAGATATAGCCCTAGCCAGTTTGGTTCAATGGATAGAGCATTGGACTGTGGATCAAAGGGTCCTGGGTTTGAGTCCGTCCAAGGGCACATACCTCAATTGCAGGCTCCTCCCCAGCCCGGGTCCTGGTTGGGGTGTTTGCAGGAGGCAACCAATCGATGTGTTTCTCTCACAGCGATGTTTCTCTCTGTCTTTCCCTCTCTCTTCCACTCTCCCTAAAAATCAATGGAAAAATATCCTCAGGTGAGGATTAAAAATAAATAAATAAATAAATGAAATTGAGATACAATTGAGATATAACATTATATTAGGTTCAGGTGTACAACATAATGATTTAATACATGTACATATTGTGACATGATCACCACAGTAAGCCTAGTGCGCTGGGAGAGGAGGCCAACCCTCCGAAGGGAAGTGCTAGTAGAGTCATGAGCAGGAAAATCGGGTTCTCCTGATGACGTGGTCTGCGCCCCTGACCTCAGCCATCTCTGAAGACCTCACCACCTGCCGACGCCCCAGTTATGTGAGCCACTAAAACCCTAGTTGTATTTGTTTCTTTCACTTTTAACGGAAAGATTTCTGATTTGCATGCTGCACTAGTTTCCTATTGCTGCTGGAACCAATGACCACAAACGTAGTGGCTTCAAACAACACAACTTTATTATTTTCCAGTGTTGGAGGTCAGAAGTCTGAAAGGGTCTTAGAGGCCAAAGTGAAGGTGTCAGCAGAGCTGTGCTCCTTCTGGAGGCTCTGGGAAGAATCTGCTTCCTTGCCCTTTCCAGCACCTGCGTTCCTGGCTCATGGCCCCTTCCTCACGTCACTGCCATCTCTCCTCCTACTGTCACCGTTCTGGCTCTCTGACTCTGACCCTCCTGCCTCCCTCTTATAAAGGCCCTGGCAATTACACTGGACCCACTCAGCTAACCCAGGATAATCCCCTAAAGCAAGATCCTTAATTTGATCACATCTGCAAAGTCCCTTTTGCCATGAAGGTCACAGAGTCACAGATTCTGAAGATTCGGACAGGCGTGTCTTTGGGGGTCTCTTGTTCTGGTCTCACGCATACTCAGGAAGCAGACTCGCGAGTGACCACTGGGAAGGCCACTTAGTGGCAAAGCAGTTTCCTTCTAGTTCTCCGGCGCTTACCTGGGAGTGCGGGAGGGGGACTGGTGGAGTGGGGCGAGGCTGTGGCTGGCGGGCCTCTGCCCCTCATCTCTGCATACTCCGCTATGGGCCTGAGGAGGGCCAGCGCTCCAGAACACTGCAAGTAATTGCCATCCAGGTGCAGCTCGCTGGGGAAGGGGCCAAATACACGGCTCGTTAGGTGTTATTTCCACTCTCTCAGATCAGGACTTGAGGTCTTCACCTCCTAAAATAAATGCTAATACTTAGACCTCGTTATAAAATAATAAATAACCATAATAAATAATAGGCCAGGGCATGAAAAATAGACCTGGTGGCCATGTTACTGGCCAGAGACATGCATTGAACATGACATCCCTGAATCTCAAATGTAAGTAGAGGGTCTTGTTCTTATCATTAAGAAGAAGAACACACAAAATAACTAGAGGAGAGAAAAAGATGATGAGAAACATATTGAAAAGTGAGGGGAACGAGTGGGCTCTGTCAATAAGCTGGTTATATAATTCCAGACAGAACAGTGCCGGAGGCAGGCTGGGCGACGGGGGACGCCTCTCACCAGATGGCACTCTGGCGGATGACGGAGCCCAGGAGTGGCCCGCTCCGGGGCCCCAGGCCACAGTAGCGCAGGCTGAGGCCTTGAAGCCTGTGGTTGTTCTCCAGGCCTGAGAAAATGCTCTCCATTTCTTCACTTTCAAATCTAAAAGGAAATGACAGGAACCAATTAGTGACCTTTAAGACCTATGTCACCCACTGGGTTAGTCATTTTCAAGCACCCCTAGGGCAGCGAGAGCCACTTATTTTTTTTAAATAAAATATTTTTATTGATTTCAGAGAGGAATGGAGAGGGAGAGAGAGAGAAACATCAATGATGAGAGAGAATCGTTGGTCACCTGCCTCCTGCACGCCCACCACTGGGGACCGAGCCCATATCCAGGCATGTGCCCTTGCCTGGAATCAAACCCAGGACCCTTCAGTCAGCAGGCTGAGGCTCTAACCACTGAGAAACCCAGCTAGGGCTACAGCCACTTTTGCTGATCTTTGATTTGGGCTTCCTGGGCCAGGGCTGGCGCTGGGGTGGGCATGGTTGACAGAGGGGGCTGCCTGCGTGTGGAGGAAGGGGGCCTGGAGTCTGCCTTCTGAGCAAAGAGCAGTGGATGGTTTGAGTAGCCATTCAAGGGAGCGAACGGAGAGCGAGCTCTGAACCCTGCAGTCAGGAGAGAAGGCCCCGCTGGCAGGGCCGAAGGAGTCTGTGGAGGCTCAGTGGTACCAGGGCTTTGTAAGGAGGGGGCCTTTAAAAAAAGTTTTTATTGATTTCAGAGAGAGCAAGGGAGAGGGAGAGAGGGAGAAAAACATTGATAAGAGAGAATGAATCATTGATCGGCTGCCTCCTGCACACCCCCTCCTGGGGATTGAGCCTGCAACCCAGGCATGTGCCCTGACCCAGAATCGAACAGCAAACTCCTGGTTCATGGGTCGATCCTCAACCACTCAGCCACACGGGCCAGGCAGGAGTGGCCTTTTAAAGTTTTTCCAGAGTAGGTACAGGGAAGTCCAACCTCCCAGTCCTCCTTCCATGGCCCTGGGTGGCTCCTCCCCTCCCACTGCACCGTCCCTAGAGGATGTGGTTTCCCTTAGCCACACTACCGCTCAACTTTCAGTGGTTCTCAACCTTCTGGCCCTTTAAATACAGTTCCTCATGTTGTGACCCAACCATAAAATTATTTTCGTTGCTACTTCATAACTGTAATGTTACTAGTGTTATGAATCGTAATATAAATATCTGATATGCAGGATGGTCTTAGGCAACCCCTGTGAAAGGGTCGTTTGACCGCCAAAGGGGTTCTCAACCAGCGACCCACAGGTTGAGAACCGCTGCATGTGGACATCTTTGGTGACATTCAGAGTCCGCCTTACATTCTGCATAATCAAGAAGAGCATGTCTCCTCTCCGCTGCTAGCCTGAGGGCTCCCTCGGACAGCAGCCTCACCTTGTGTACATTTGCATCTTCCTTAGCAATGAGCACAGGGTCTTGCACAGACAGGCCTTGGACAAATATTTGTTGAAAGAATAAATGAATGCCCTGACCAGTTTGGCTCAGTGGATAGAGCGTCGGCCTGACGACTGAAAGGTCCCATGTTGGATTCCGGTCAAGGGCATGTACCTTGGTTGTGGGCACATCCCCAGTAGGAGGTGTGCAGGAGGCAGCTGATTGATGCTTCTCTCTCATCGATGTTTCTAACTCTCTATCCCTCTCCCTTCCTCTCTGTAAAAAATCAATAAAATATATTTAAAAAAAGAAAGAATAAATGAGTGAATAGACGCTTTTTTGAGAACCCTAACATTCACTCAGGAACATTAACTCTAGGGAGGTTTTACAGTGTCCCCTTTCAGTGATGACATGATGAGATGCATGGAAAGGGGACATTGCCCTTCCCCTGTCTTGCCTCCTCCAGCTGACAGCAGTCAGAGCCGTACCTGCAGTAATCGAGGACAAGAGAATGCAAACTGCTGAACTGCAGAGCCTGCCCAAGTCTTCCCAGAGACCACAGATCCATCTTACAATCAATGAGTTCTAGGGTGGTCAGTGGGCAGGTGGCATGCCCCTTCAATTCCAGAAGCGAAGCCTGAGAATGCAAAGTAAAGAGTCCTTATGTAATAAAGTTAATATGCTCTCTGTGTTCTTGTTACTTAAAAGTCAATTGTCTAAAATACCTCAACATTCTTGCTTCTAAAATAACTTTCTACTTACCCAAAGAGAAAGTGGTATGCAAACAGAATAATTTCCCTTACAAATGAAGACTCATCAAAGAATTATTTGGGAGCCCTAGCCAGTTTGGCTCAGTGGATAGAGCGTTGGCCTGTGAACTGAAAGGTCCCAGGTTTGATTCCGGTCAAGGGCTCATGCCTGGGTTGTGGGCTCAATCCCCAGTGGGGGACATGCAGGAGGCAGCCAATCCATGATTCTCTCTCATCATGGATGTTTCTATCTCTCCCTCTTCCTTATTCTCTGAAATCAATAAAAATATATTTTAAAAAACCACACAAATGTATTATTAAAAAAAAATTATATGGGAAACACCAAGCTTTATGATGAGATAAGATATATTGCAGCATATCTTTTTAGATGTCATTATGGGCTGAATGGTGCCCTTCCCCACTTTCATATGTTGAAGTCCTAATCCCCAGCACCTCAGCATGTAACTATATTTGCTGAGATGGTTCCTTTAAAGAGGTAATTAAGGTAAAATGAGGTCATTAGGATGACCCTAATGGAATCGGACTGGTGTCCTTATGGGAAAAGGAAATTCGGGCTCAGATTTGTGCAGAGGGAAGACGATGGGAAGACACAGGGAGAAGATGACCATTTACAAGCCAAGGAGAGAGGCCTCAGAAGAAACCGACCCTGCTGACACCTTGGGCTCAGACTTCCAGCCTCTAGAACTGGGGGAAAATACATTTCTATCGTCTGAGCCATGCAATCTGTGGCACTCTGTTATGGCAGCCCTAGCAAACCAACACAGATGCTCACAGTCTGACCAACACATGTTTATCCTCCTATGGTTGTGTTCTTCAAAGTAGAGAAGTGCTGCTGTGCCGATCTTAAAGTTATAATAGTTAAAGGCTCTCACCAATGATTCATTTTCATACTTATAGATATTACTAGGATTGGGGGTCTCCTCAGAACTAGACTGTGCAAATGCAGGAACGAGGTGCTGCTCACATTGACACAGCTGGACTGGGGGCGACACGTGAGTGTTCGGAGCCATTGCCTGCTCCCTGGGTCCCTGAATGGAGGGGTCAATGGCAAGGTCATTTCTTCTGGTAACAAATGATCCCAGTCACAGTGCAGTCCCTTCCTTCCTGACAGGGAAGGGCCGCTAAAGCTACAAATCCTGAAGGCCCCCTCTTAGCAATGAGAAGCACCACCACCTGAGGATTCCCTCCGTTCTGAATTTAAGCCTGAGAGAGGCCTTGGGGAGGTCTGGAGGATTTAGGGTTTTTTTGAGGTAATGACACGTTGGTCAGAGATAGGATTCCAAATTACACCTCGGCTGAGAACAAAAAAGCACTGGCAACCTCGACCACAGCGCCTCTTTAATGAGGGGAGGCCTGGGCTGGTGGCGGATTGGATTTCTCAAGCTGCTGCTGACAGAGGAGCCCTCACCGCCTCTGGTCATGCTGGTCTGTGCAAAACAGGCTCTGCCGGGTCCCAGAGGCCTGAACCAGCGGTTTGCCGAGTCCCTCCGGGGCTCACGCCCTGCTGTGGGCAAGACCACAGCCATCTAGGAGGACTTTCTCAGCAGCCGCCATCTTGCCACGAGGGCCACGCTTTCAGGAACTGTGAAGGGTCACTTAACATGCAGGGACAGCGCTGTGTTTCTGACTTAAATGGACTGGGTACCCTGACTGACCCTCTGGATGAAAACAACTAAAAATTCTGGTTATATATTTCAAATCGTTGTAAATTGTGGTCATATACACATAAAATATACCATCTTCACCATTTTCAAGTGTGCAGTTCAGTGGCGTTAAGTACATTCACAGTGTCATGCAACCGTCAGCACCATCCGTCTCCAGAACTTTTTTGTCTTGCAAAACGGAAACTCCGTGCGCCCAGTAAATAACGCTCATTCTCCCCTCCCCTCAGCCCCTGGCAACTAACTGCTGCTCTTTCTGTCTCTGAATTTGACCACTCTGGGGACTTCATACAAGTGGAGTGATTTAGTATTTGTGACTGACTTATTTAACTTACACTAAGTTCTTCAAGGTCCATGCTGTAGCATGTGTCAGAATTTTTAAGCTGAATAATATACTATTGTATGTATATACCACATTTTTTTTTCCATTTGCCTGTCCATTTGGATTGTTTCCACCTTTGGCAATGTGAATGTTGCTATGAACACGAGAGTACAAATGTCTCTTTGAGACCCTGTTTTCAATTCTTTTGACCATATACCCAGAAATGGAATTGCTGGGTTATATGATAATTCTATTTTAATTTTTTGAGGAACCTCCGTACTGTTTTCCACAGTGGCTGCATCCTCTTACATTCCGCCCAACAGTGCACAAGGGTTCCAATCTCTCCACATCCTCGTCAACATGTCATTTTCCGCTCGTTTTTTATAGTCACCACCCTCGTTTACATGAGGTGGTATCTCATTGTGGTTTCGATGTGCATTTCTCTAGTGATTAGTGGGGATGTTGAGCTTCTTGTGTTTATGGGTCTTTTGTGTATCTGTCTTGGAGAATGTCCACTCAGGTCTTTCGCCCATTTTTAAACCAGGTTGCTTGTTCTGTTGCTGGTGAGGTGGAGGAGTTCTTTGTATACCTGGCTATTAACCCTTTGTCAGACGTGTGATTTCCGATCACTTTCTGCCATTCTGTGGGTTGCCTTTTCACTCTGTTGTCTGTGCCTTTGGCTGCACAGAACTGTTGAATCTGGATGAAGTCAATGCCTCTCGTTTTTCTTTTGTTGCCTGTGCTTTTAGTGTCATATCTAAGAAATCACTGCCAAATCCAACATCATAAAGCTTTTCTTCTAAGAGTGTTAAAAAATACTTTTTTAAAAAAATGTGCTGATTGACTGGCAGGTTAGTGAGGAATAGACGAAGGTCCGTGGATGAGACTGGTGGGAGCCTCGAGGAGGACGCGGGCATAAAGCCAGCTTTCCCTTCGCGAGCATCATTAAAGCAGGGGATGGTGCCTCTGGGCCGTAGATGGGGAAGAAGTGAGATGAAGCTTAGCTATTGTACTTGTAAAATTCACAATGTTTATGCCTTAATAAAGCATATTTCATGAAATATACAAGGATGTCAGTTCTATTATTTTCTGTGCTTTTGTCTGTTTGAAATGTTTAATTAAAAATACATTGTCTCTTGTTTCTTTTTTAAAGAAAACCTTGGAGCGTATCAGTCACCAACCAAATGAATTATAGCTGGAACACATGATGTAATATGCTTCCCGTCAATTTTAAGACTAATCGAATAAACGTTTTGAAAGTGCAGGACTCACGAGTCTGGCAATCTCCGGGTTGCTCAGTTCAAGTCCCCAGATGCAGATCTGCTGCCCCAGCGTGTAACACTCATCTCGAATTGTCATGAGCAAAGGTTCCAAGGAAATCGGAAGGGTGCTTGGCTGGGAGTCATCGGGTCTTACAAGTACAAACTGGTGTAAGAGAAAAACCACAGGTGGATATCATAAAGAGACATCCAGCCCTAGCCGGTTTGGCTCAGTGGATAGAGTGTGGGCCCTAGGACTGAGGTCTGGTTCATTTCCAGGCAAGGGCATGTACTTCAGTTGCAGGCTTGGTCCCAGGCCCTGGTCCGGATGGGTGCGGAAGGCAACCAATCGATGTGTCTCTCTCTCTGTGTATTTCTCCCTCCCTTCCACTCTCTCTAAAAATTATTGGAAAAATATCCTCGAGTGAGGATTAACAAAAAAACAAAAACAATAAAGAGACATCTATGCATCTGAATATGTGGAGGAAGAACATTGTCATTAGATAACATTAGAAGAACATTTAAATAGTTATTAATTTTGGGACAGGGGTGCACTGGTGCGCGTGGTGTGTACTCAACACAAACATATGAAGTTACTGCCATACCCAGACTTCCATGGAAAGACCTATAGGGCAGAGATTTTTCCAGCAGGTTACTACCCATTTTTAGGTCAGGAAATCAATTTCATTTTTTTTTCTTTAATGAAGTAGGAAAGAAGAAATCATCTGAATGTATTATAAACAGTAAGAAATAACTGTCTTATGAGACTTTTATTTCAGTGATATTCAAAATAAAAATGGAACCCAACCAAAGCAATCTACCAGTCCTTATATACTGGGTCAGAATGTTAATTGTATTTCTGATGGTGATTGTAATTTATTTTATTTATTTATTTTTGTTCATCCTTTCCCAAGGATATCTTTTCCATTGACTTGTAGAAAGAGTGGGAGAGATGGAGGGAGGGACAGAGAGATTGATGGAAGAGGGACACATTGATTGGTTTTTGCACGTGTCCTGACCCAGGCCTGGAATTGAACCCACAACCCTTCAGTGTGTGGGCCAATGAGCAGCAGGGTGGTGATTGTAATTTAAAATGTTTGGAAAACATTGCTGAAGGAACTATAAATCTGAACAAAATTTATAGTTAACCCCTATGATTTAGTGGTGGAGGCTGATTATAAAAACTACAGTAGAAAAAAAAATCAGTTTTTATTTTACCACCAAAAGGATGACTCTGGGAAGCTCCTCCCTGGGGTGAGCAGGGAGTAGAAAGACCTGGGAGGGTAGAGGGGGAAGAGGAGAGTAGAGGAGGCAGAGAGGGGAGGTGAAGGGAGAGGCCAGGGGCAGCTGCCTGGGAAGTGGAAGTTTAGGTAAAAGGGAGAGACGGTTAGAGAGGAACTGTAGGAGGCTCTTTTTGTGTGGAGTGCCATGTGGAAATCAGTAGGTATTTGATTATTGAAACATGGACTGTCATTCTGCGCTGGGATAGAAATGTTGTAAAGTTGGCTGGTCTGTCTTTGGGTGCCAGACTCCCTCTTCTAGCCTGTCAGGCCCCTTCCTAAAAGTTGACCATTTAGTTTCAGTGTCTCATTCCCCTCACACCCAATCCCTAGGTGTAATCTCAGAAAAAATATGACATTAGAATTTTTTGAATCCAGTGCTTCTGGAATCAGAATGATGTGTTGGCTGACCTCACTCCAAGTGAGATGAGAGGCCTGGGTGATGCAGGTCTGGCCTGATGAAGTGGACACGCCGGCTGTCAAGGGAAGGAGGCACCTGGAGGGACCGGGTGGGGGGCTGGAGCGCTGGGGAGGGAGGTCCTGCAGTGAGGACAGAAGTGATGCTCTAGGGCTGGGCTTTTCAGATGTAGAGCGGGGGGAGGGGCAGGTTGGCCAATCCAGAGGTGAAGTGTGTGAGAAAAGGCCGGCCTGCAGGGAGGACTGGTAGGAGAAGTGCTGAGCAGGCCCTTGGTACCAGAGCCAGGCTTTGGTCTTCAGGCAGGAGCACAGAGGGGGCGACACCACCAGTTCGGGGCTCAGGGGACTGAGGACCCACGTTCCCTGGGAGTAAACCCTAGTCAGTCAGTTCATGTCAGAGAAGAATGAGGAGAGGAGACCATCCGCTCACCTTCCTGAGAACCTGTTCGCTGTTGATGCTGGTTTTCAAGTCCTTTCTGATGGCGGGGCACACGGACGTCTGTGTCTGTGCACAATGCTTCTCGTAGGTTTTCAGGAACTTTTGAAGAATTGGAGCGACAGGCAGGGGTGCTCCTTCCCTGTTGTGTTTTCCTGTCTTTCCTCTTGGCATTGTTTTATGGTGTTAGATTCCACGTGGATTCTGAAAACAGTAACTTGCCCTGCAACCCAACACACAGATATCTAATTTTTTTTTAATTTTTTATTTTATTTTATTGATTTTCTACAGAGAGGAAGGGAGAGGGATAGAGAGTTAGAAACATCGATGAGAGAGAAACATTGATCAGCCGCCTCCTGCACGCCCCCGAATGGGGATGTGCCTGCAACCAAGGTACATGCCCTTGACCAGAATTGAACCTGGGACCCTTGAGTCCGCAGGTCGACGCTCTATCCATTGAGCCAAACCAGTTCTGGCCAGATATCTAAGTTTTAAGGAGCAGCTTAGACTTCCCCCACCCCCCAAAACTGGCAAATATTGCTGCACACCCTTCTCTGAAAATTTTCAGGTGCTTCATTTGTCTTACAATGGGAGTAGGGAATCAAGACAGAGACAGTCAAGTGGAATTTTCCCATTTCCAATTTCTATATTCATGGATCCATGTTCTTCCTTTTAAAACGAGGGCAGTACTCATGGAACCCACTTATAAAGGAACACAATTAATATGAACAGTGGGTACTAAATGTTACCAAGGATATATTTATTTAAAATTGGCACAATTCTCTTTATGGACATAACGCTTGCCAGGCAGTATCAAAGTGGTTAAGGACATAGGCTTTGGAGGGAAGCAGACCTGGAATTTATTCTTACCTTCACCACTTGACTCACTGGGTGGCCTCAGATACTTTATGAAGCCTCTTCAAGCCTCTATTTCACCATCTGTAAGACAGATTTTTGGTTGTCATGAGGATTAAGTGAGATTATAAAGCACAACATCTGGCACATAGTGGAAGTGCTCAGTAAACTTCATTGTTATCACTGGTGTTATTATTATTCTGCTGGCCCAGGAAGTTACCCTATCAGTCCTGATTCTGTCCTTTAAATTACCCTCCATGTGGTAACTTAAAGTAATGGTTGAGTCTATGAACTGGGTTCACAGGGACAAAGGTTTACGGGAATTATTAGCGTTTCACCAAATGGGAAATTTCCAGCTACAGATTGTCCCAACCATCCCAAAAGAAACTGGAAGGAGACAGGGGCTGTTCGGAAAAGCAGACATCAAAAAGAATACCACTTCTTGCTACCTCTACCATCACTTTTCCACCTGAACCTCAGGTCTGTTCTCCAGCTGCCAGAATTATGTTTTTCAAATGTAAATCAGATCATGTGATTCTTCTGCTTAAATCTCTACAATGGTCTCCTATCACATTTATCTTTAGAGAATTTTATGCACACTTATTCTATCACTTATTGAGAGAGGTATATAAATGTGAATGTCTATTTCTGCTATTAATTCTATAAATTTTTGTTTTACATATTTTAAAGCTGTTATTAGATGCCCACAAATTTAAAATATATTTTTATTGATTTCAGAGAGGAAGGGAGAGGGAGAGGGGGATAGAAACATCAATGATGAGAGAGAATCATTGATCGATCGCCTCCTGCACGCTCCCTACTGGAAATCAAGCCTGAAACCCGGACATGTGCCGCCGCCAGGAATCAAACCATGACCTCCTGGTTCATAGGTCAACACTTAACCACTGAGCCACACCAGCGGGGCAGGTGCCTACAAATTTAGAACTGGTAAATCTTCTTGGGGGGATCTACCCTTTTCTCATTCTTTAACATTCCTCTTTATCTCTAGAAATGCTTCGTGTCTTAGAGCCACAGCTCCCAGACTGTGTACTAAGGTGCTGGGAGGTGTTGCAAACTTACAGGGATATTTGATATGTTCTTTTTCTTTCTTTCTTTCTTTCTTTCTTTCTTTCTTTCTTTCTTTCTTTCTTTCTTTTTCTTTCTTTCTTTCTTTCTTTCTTTTTTTTTCACTGAATTTATTGTGGTGACATTGGTTAATAAAATTATATAGGTTTCAGGTACACAATTCTATAATATATCATCTGTATATTGTATAGCGTGTTCTACCCCAAGTCAAGTCTCCTTCCATCACCAGGGACATTGGAAATTTTCAAGGGAAAATAGCAACATCTGTTAGATGCCATGTGAGCTACATGGGGGTAGTTCACAGTTGCAACTTGGATCACACTTGTATTAGTATCCTATTGCTGCATAACAAATTACCCCATCATAGTGAAAAACATTTTAAGAGAGAATGAACCCAGCAGAATACAGACACCTAGGGACCTGGGGCAAGGGAAAAATCACATAAGTATAGCTCTGGTTGGGACTTTACAGATTGTCTAACCCCGGGAAGCCATCGTTAGGATAACCACTGTCCCAGGATTTTGAGTGCTAACACTAGGAAAGTACTGGGCAACCAGGATGGTTACTCACCCTACGCCCCCTCCCCACGGCCATCACCCAGCTGTGGCCTCAGAACCTGCTCACTGCTGTGCTCCAGGAAGCTGCTGCAGAGCAACCAAACTTGGCGGCTACCTAAAACCTATCTGCCGTCTCAGGGGCACTTGTCTAGCTTTTTGTTTGTCACATAACAAAAATGAGCCCCCAGAAGGCAAAGGAGGGACTTACTCTGGCTGAGAACAGAACTGGGCCTGCTGACTCCCGGATTGCTTTTAGTAAGCACCCTAGGTGATGCTATCATCAGGCAATTGGCAAACATTGGCAAGGCATCCTGGGAGACCAAACAGGTGGGGAGCTGGTGGACAGGCTTTGGGTCAAAAGGAACCTGTTTAAACCCTGTGTCTGTCAATTATTGGTAGGGTGATTATGGGTAATCAAATTCACTTCCTCGAATAATTTTCTTCATCTGTAAAAAGGGTGGGAATATTACCTCTTTGGCATTTTTGAGGATTAAATAACATATGTAAAACTTTTTCATCAGTAACATGGGGATGACGATGGTCAAGAATCATTAAGAAGAATAATGAGTTAGAATGACAGATGCTCAGAACAGAGCCAGGCACGTAGGAAATAGGAAATGCATGGGTGGGAAACCTGAGGCATAGCAAGGTTAAGGGATTTGCCTAAGGACAGACATTGGTAAGTGGTGTAGCCAGTCTGGCTCCAGAACCCAAGTTCTTAATCATTCTGAGGTACAACCTGTAAGGTAGTTATGGACTGAATGTTTGCATCCACCCAAATTAATCTGTTGGAGCCCTAACCCCCATTTTGGTGGTGTTTGGAGATGGGACCTGTGGGAGTCCATTAGAATTGGGTGAGGTCATGAGGGTGGGGCCCTCATTTTAGGATTAGTGCCCTTATAAAGAGACATCAGAGAGCCTATTTCTTCTCTCTTCTCCATCCTTCACCTCCTTCTCTCTTACCCTCTCCCTCCCCTCCTCCCCCCTCTTCCTCTTCCTGCCCCCAAGCTGTTGAGATGACCACCAAGAGAAAAGGCTCCAAAATGAAACCCATCTTACTGGCATCTTGATCTTGGATTTCTAGTCTCCATAACTGTGAGAAATAGATTTCTGTTGGTTAGGCCACCCAGGCTATGGTATTTTGTTATGGGGGCTGAAACAGACTAAGACAGGAACTGTCCACAATATTACTGTCCACCATATAAAATATTTCTCTCCAGCCTTTTCTGGGCATTTACAGAAGCACAGAGTATACACACATACCTTCTATAAAAAGTCTATTAAGATCCTCTTAAATATTGAGTTTTTCACTTAATATTTTCTCAGGAGCATTTCTTGATGTCATTTCCCTATTCCTTAACGTGTGGCCCAGGTTCGCAACTACCTAGGTGCTCAAGGCCAGCACTGACTGGCTGATTCATTAATGAATACTTACGGAGGTTTAAGGAATAGAGGCCCCAACCTATGCTAGGATTTCTTCTCTCATCTGACTCTCCCTCCTGGAGGTGGAACGGTGTGTGTGTGGGGGAGGGGATAGGATAAGGAGAGGGGGAGGGGAAAAGAAGGAGGGGGGGAGGGAGAGGGAGGAAAGCCCGCCTAGGTGCCCTGCTTGTCCACCTCCCACAGCTGCTGGTTCACCTCGGAGTCGAGGGGAAGGGCAAGAAGGGGCTGCTTGCCGCTCCCTTCTCTAGGGCTCTTGACGCACCTCCAATTTCAATACATTTCGTAGAGAATCCTGACTCCCTACCCGAGGCCAGGACACTCCTAGCTGTGGGGCGCGGGCGCTTTGCCCCGGGCAAGTTCGGGCGGAACGTGGTTGGGCACCTGGGGTGGGAATGGGAGGTGTGGGTGTTACCCTCTCCCTGGAGCTCAGGTCCACCCTGTCCCGAGCAGCTGACCAGGGGCCGCACAGTTCAGGGGCAGGCGCCCGCCCCGGCCTGCGCTCGGCACTTACCCAGGGGCACTGTCTGCATCCTGGCCCGTCCGCCTTCCCGCGCGGGTCCAGCGCCTGGAGACGGCAGCCCCGGGAGGGGGCGGGGGAGGCGGCAGGCTGCAGGGGGCAGCGGCCCGGGCGGGGCTAGAGGAGGAGAAGGAAGGGCAGCCGCAGGAAATATCGGTCCAGGGTTCGTGGGGCTCTGGCTTTGAGAACTCCTGGTGAGCTCGCTGCAGGTCAGACAAAGGCAATGACCATGTGATTTCACTTGTCCGCGGAATCTACAGACTAAAAGAAACGAACAAACAGAACTGAAACAGATTCATCGCGACCTAAAACAAACAGGGTTGCCAGAGAGGATGGGGGTTGGAGGACTGGGTGCAAAAGGTGAAGGGATTAAGGAATACAAGTTGGTGGTTCATAAATGCTCGGTGGATATGAAGTACAGCAGACGGGATAGAGTCTGTAATATTGTAATAACTAAGGATGGTGTGAGGTGGGTACTTTAAATATCGGGGATCACTTTATAGGATTGTCTAACCACCAAGCTGAACACCTGAAACTATGATGAAATAATCTTGAATGTCAACTGTAATAAAAAAATTAGAGTGGTTATAATAATTTTAACGTAATAAAAGTACTCCCGGTTAATAATAGTACATGTTCATTGTAGAAAGCTTAGGCTATGTGAAAATTTTAAAAATGTAAACCAAAGTCAGTTGTAGTCATACCAGCCAGAGATGGCCACAGTTTAAAATCTGAGAGTTCAGTGCTACAGACCATGTCCAATCCTGGATCTGCCTGCCCCTCCTTGGGAAGTTACTTTTCATTTCCCCGACTTAGTTTCCTGTTCTATAAAATGGGTCCAGTAATGTCTACGAATAAGGCTGTGTGCTCATTAAGTAAGAGAATGTTTGTGAAATGATGAGCCTGGTGGATAAGAAATGCTCAACTTGTTGACTATTTGTAATATCACTGTCACTATGAAAGAGCTGTAGTTCTTCATTCCTTGTTCCTAAACTCACAATCTCATGCATTGTTTGCTCTGGAATATCCGTTATCTCTTTCTGGGTGTCAACAATTCTTCACACAAAACAGTTCCCCAGGAAAAGTAGGGGCTCTAGCAGAAATGTGACTCGTTTTTCCAAGAAGCAGTGAGAATTGCCAACCCATATTTCCTCAGCCCATATTTTTAAAAACTTCCCCGATGTATTACCGATGTCATAATAATAAACATCTTCACGTGTATAATCTGGTAAGTTTTGACCTGTGTAACCTCTCCTGAAACCATTGCCACAATCAAGAGAGTGAGCATAGTCAGAACCCCCAACATTTCCTTGTGCCCCTATGTCCCCCTCCCCCCGGACCAACACACACACACACAGATGACCTCTGATCTCCTTTCTGTCACTAGGGATTAGTTTGCACTTTCTAGAATTTTACACAAACGAACCACACAGCAGGCAGTCTTTTTTGCCCAGTTTCTTTCACTCAGAATAGTGACTCCAAGAGCCACCTGCTGTTGGACACGTGGGTAGTTCAGCTCCTCTGCTCGGCAGTGAGCGTTCACTGTTGGGACCAATGGACAGACGAGGATCGATGATCCGTTCACCTGCTAGCGGACATTTGGGTTGTTTCCATTTCTTGGCTTTTTACAAGTAAAGCTGCTATAACCCTTCTGTGTACGTCTTTGTGTGGATACATGCTTCTGTTTCTCCCAATCCAGTGTTAAAAAACAGTATTTTCTCCAAATGCTGGTCGTGTCCAGCCTTATTCTCAAGAACGTAGCGTCGGGATGCACCCTGCCTTCGGTCAGACTCTTGCCAGTTCGGTTTGGAGCAGGGCTGTTCTCTGTACTCTGTCATCACAGGACAGAGGGTGCCCCTTGTCCTCTCTCTTGAAGTCACTTAGGTCAGTAGGATTTTGAGGCAGGAGGTTTACGGCAGCCGCTGAAGGGATCTGCCGGAAAGGATCCCTCCCAAGGGCCTGGCTCCAGATCAGATCCGAGGCCTGAGCCTGCAGCTCCCCCACGAGGCAGAGAAACCAGGGGAAACTGAGGCCCAGGAAAAAGCTGTACATTTGAGGTTGCTGGGCCAGGCACCCTCTGCCAGGACTGCCTTCCCTTTCCCACTGGCCTGACCTTGCCTTTTATTGAGAAGCAAGATGCCTGGAGTGATGTCACCTAAAAACAAGGATTGACACATTGGGGTCTTCTTACCTGGAAGGGCATGTCCACATGATTTACCAGTTAACTCCTCCCTCCTCCTCAGGGGCAGTGCTTTCGCCCCAGGGTTCTATAATCACGTACAAAATATTTCCACTATCATGATGCTCACCCCAAAATAAATAAATATCAGCACCCCCACAGATGTTTCCTTATTTGCCGAAGGGAAAAGAAGGTAAACATAGTTATTGTGACTCATAATATTTGTGGAAAAGGCACCACACTAGAGCCTTCCCAAGTACTCCCAACAATAATATTTTGGGAACTTTAATTTTTTTTTATCTCTGATGGCTCAATGCCACTTTGATTCAGCTTCGGGCTTCTCCCCCTAGTGTTAACATCGAGGGGAAGTCAGAGAGGTTTAGGGCTTCCAGGAATCACCTTCTGCCCGGGAACCTGGTGGCTGGTTTCTGCTCTTCAGCAGTGTTGGGGAGACACCCAGAATCCAAGGCCCCCGGAGACCTTTGCAGACCTGCTCACTGAGGGCTAAGGCAGGGCTCTCCACCTTGAGTGACTGGCAGAATCCCCTGCAGGCACAGGGACCTGCAGGCTGGGCCCCGCCCCCAGAGCTGTCACTCAGGAGGGCTGGGCTGGGCCTGAGCATTTGCTTGTCATCGGGTTCCCAGGTGATGTTGCCCTTGCTGGTCCTGGGACCTCACTTTGAGAACCACTAACCGAATGCTCCTCCTTCTTTCCAAAGCTGCCTGGCATGTTAGCTCGCAGCTGGGGGACTCCCTGCAGAGGCCTGAGCCTCTCCTACTGGGAGTTTGCGCTGAATATGGGATTAGTCAGAGGAGTAGGAAAGGCCGTTTTGCTGGTTATCTAGGCCTGGGTTAAGGCTCAAGGGCTCAGGAGTCTGCCTGGTACCTGACAACTTTCCAGAAGGTACCTAGGTTTGTTTCCTCCCTGAGAAGGACTCTGCCAGTCTGTGGGCTGCCTGAGAAGTGGCCGCAGGCTGGGTGCAAAGCTGTCGGAGAACCAGGCACTGGGAGCAAGTGACGCATTGGTGAGTCCAGTGAGCCTGAGACCTGGGCCTGGAGGACCGGGGATGAGTGCACTTGTCAGGGGTCACCCTGAGGAGCTGAGCAGAGCGTGAGGACATAAAGGTGGAGAGGGCTTGAGGGCTCGGGCCCTGCAAATGAGGCCCTGTGCAGCTCTCAGGCCCTTACAGGGCTCACCCACGGGCTGCCCTCCTGGCTCCCTGGCTTCTGTCCTGGGCCCTGGGCTGTGACGTCTGAAGCTCCTTTCAGTGGTTATCTTCCACACACACCCCACCTCCCCGGGCCCACGCAGACCCCATTTGAACACATTCCTGGATTGTTTGGTGTCACACCTCCCAGGGACCTTGTCCACTGCTTCCCATTTCCTCATCCAGTTTCCCCATCCCCGGTCCTTGATGCCCCCTCTGGGCCCCTCCCATCCGGAGGCTGCACCCTGTGTCTGGGACTCCCTGGCCTGCTTTCAAGTCTTTCCAAGCTGCACACTCTGGCTCCCACCCACTGGCCTGCCAAGTGGGGCAGGTCTGGGGCTACAGTCTCCTCCTTGGGAAGGTCACTGAGCCTCTGTGGGCAGCAGAGTCTCCCTTTGTGTCAGGACTGGTGTGAGGTCACGTTAAGAAAATGCTCATAAAATGAATATAAATGTGCCGTCAGCCCCCTTCCCTCTTCCAGAGCTGTGGTCCACCTTGACCCCAGTGTCTAGCACCAGAACCTGCCCTCCACCCGGAGATCTGCAGCTTGGACTGAATGCGGGCGTAGGGGGCGGGGGTGGGGGGGTGGAGGTGTGCATTGAGGCAGAGCCGGGTGAGGCCAGAAGGGTGGTCTGTGCTCCCCCACCACTCCATCCAGTCAGGAAAGCTCAGATGACAGGGGGACTGAAAAAGGGTAGATGTTCTCAGATGACATTCTTGGGATGTGAAAAGATTCAACAGCGAAGGCCCTGGGACTGGAAGGAACTGAGGGGCATTTTCCTACTCTGAGTTGAGCTGATTCTGGTGTACCCCAGGCAGGTCATCTTTTCTGTTAGAAGAAAAGAAAGGGGCCTTGGAGCCTCTCTCCTCAGCAAATCTACACAACACCATTCTTTGTTGTTGTTAATTCTCACCTGAGGATATTTTTTTCATTGAATTTTTTTTTTTTAGAGGGAGTGGAAGGCATGAGGGAGAGGAGAGAGAAAAATATCAATGTGACAGAGACATCAATTGGTTGCTTCCCACACATGCCCTGACTAGGGTGGGGATTGAACCTGCAACCCAGGTACATGCCCTTGACCGAGAATCGAACTCATGACCCTTCGGTGCATGGGCTGATGCTCTAACTATTGAGCACACTGGCCAGGGTGACACCATTCTTATCCATTCTATGTCAAATGGGGAAGAATAGATAACAAGAGTGGGTGGTCCCTTGCACGAGCTTAGATTTAAGGACCCAGGGAATAGTAACCACACCTAACACAGGTATTGTTTTTTTCCTGTTGACCACATACTGTTGGACCCCCCCATGCAAGTGGGACTGGCTTAAAGAGGCAGAGTCCAGGGGCAGAGGGTTGAGGGAGGAAGAGGAAGAAACAGACGGGAAAGGCTTGCAAAGTAAGAAATTTCCTCCTGGCCTGGAGCCACCGTCACACTTGCGGCCAAAGTTCTTCCTGGGGATGGTATGGAGGTCTCAGGTTGGTCCTCAGCCCTCCTGCTGGGTGACCTGCACAGCTCCTGGTATTTCAGTCAAGGCCAGTTCACCCAGCAGAAAGTCACCTTTGCTGTGCTGAGGAAGTGACACAGAGAGCAAGACGCTAGGAAAATTCCTTGGCAAGAGGAATGGGGAAACCAGGACAGATAGCTGAACAAACCGGCTGAGCAATTTCCAGCCAAATATAGAAGGTCCCCAGGGCGGAAAGCCCCAGGTGCCTAGCAACAGGCAAAGCTGGTGCCAGACCTCGCCCCCAGGTGGCCTCCCCCCCCCACACCTCGCCCCCCCCCCCCCCACACACACATTGCTGCTCATGCAGTTTAGACCCCCTGACCTTTTCTCCATAAAGATAACATCCAGGCCTCGGCTGCATTTCAACTCCAGGCCCAGGAGAGCAGCAAACCATGAGCAGCTGTGCTGACTCATGACCCTGCACCTGGCACCGGCCAATTGGTAGACCTCGATCCTGAAAGGACTCACCTGGAAAAGCTGATGAATATTCTATCGCGATCTCCCCTAAGACCGCCTCTAAACTCCCAGCCTTTAAAAACCATCAAAATGAAGGGCCCAAGGCACACTCTTCCTCCCGCTCTCCCTCCCAGGAGCACGCCTTCACCTCCCCCTCCCTTCTTTCCCCACGGACTTGCCACCCGGAGAGCAAAGAGCAGCGGTAGCTGGTCCCGGCCTAATACCCTGAACCTGTGTCTAAGGCAGTGGTTCTCAACTTCGAGGCCCAGAAATCAGGATTTTAAAGATTCCCAGGTGATTCTAATGTGCAGCCAAGGTTGAGAACCACTGGTCTAAGGCCTTTTCTCTGACTTCCCAGTGAGCCAAAACAGTTCCGCCTCATCTCTCTCCTGTTGCTGCTTCTCTCCTAAACCCCTCCTTGTTTCACTGTTCCCAGCTTTAATAAACATCCTCTCATAATCACCTGGACTCGTGTTGTGAAATCTTTCCTGCACAGAGTCAAGAACCACACACTGCAGGCCGCCCGCCTGAGGCAGATCCGCTCCGGCCCAGCACTTTTCTGGTGACAGCAGTAGCTCCCGGGAAAGGAGTTTCTCTGTGGCCTTTGGATGGTGCCAGCGTGGTTCTGCTCAGCACAGTGGAGATTCCTGCATGGACGGCTCACCCCTAAGGGTCTCCTTCTCATGCCGTGCACGACTATCCCTACCACTGACCAAAGGTCCTAGAGAGGAGAGGTTGCAGCCAGAGCCCAGGTGAGGAGGACCTGGCGTCTCTGAGGCCCTGATCTTTTAAAACGAGGTTCCTACCTCTGGCTGAGCAAAGTGGGGTCCCCGTCGGAGAGAACCCCCAGGTTGAGTTGCTGTCGCAGGGCTGGAGGCACCCCAGTGTTTTGGGCTCATCTCTTGAGAATGGGTGGCCTCATAGTAATAATGATCATGTAGAGGTTCAGAACAAGCTGCCCCAAGATGTGCCCTAGCCGTAAGCAGATTATTTTGAGCTTAAGGCAACTGAGACCCCGTGGGCTCACAAGAAACTTCTGCTTCCCCTACTCCCTACCCCCTTAGCCAGAAGAATGCAAATTAGGAGCCAAGCCCACGTAGGAGATCTCTCCAGTAATTACTGAACAGGTGCTCTCTCTGCTTGACCCTTTGAAGCCCCAAGGTGCCTAACCTCCCTAGAGCTCAGAATGTCTTCTGTACCTCAGCTTCCCTCTCCATCTCTGAACCGCTCATGTACGTGGGGTCTCTGGCCTCCTATGTATGCAGGGTTCCATACATACACATGTAATTAAATTTGGGCATTCTCTCCTGCTCATCTGCCTCATGCCTATTTGATTAGACCAGCTCAAAGGACCCCGAGGATAGAGAAATGTTCCTCCCTCCCTACAACGGCACTTACTTAGCACATCTGTGTGCATGAGTGCAGCACAGGGCGCGGCAGTAAGGGCGGCAGGAGCCTACCTGTGTGGCCCTCCGATGGGCTCCGCCATGAAGGGGTAGCCGGGTCTGAGGCTGAGATAGGCCTCCTGTCATCTTAAGATGACAAGCAAAGGCTCCAGTGGAGAGGCTGCTACAGGAAAAACGCTCCTCACCCCACCCGGTGCAGCTGGTTGAACTGGAATTGCAGGAAACTTCAGGAAAACGGGGCCTGGGTTTGAGAAAACACCCTTCAACTCTAGTGGACACTTGAATCCCACTGCGCTCCCCACCCGCCTTGGCTAGGATGGCTGAACAAGTTACCTGAATTTGGGCACTTTTACAAATACTGCTGTATAGGACTTAAGACACGCAGGTTATATGATTACTTCCCTACCACATTTTAGTGGACAGTGTGTAAAGGTTTTCACATATTTTGCAACATGTGGATAAAATACTTTCAAACAGTGATTGAGTTTAAGCATTTCAAACTCTTAACTGAATAAGTCTCTTTATTTCCGTAAGCACTTAAGTAAAATAAAAGGTATCAAAATTTCCAAGATATAGATAGGGCAATTAATTGTGAAAGTTAGAGATTGAATGATTTGCTTCATTTTCTTGCTACAAATGTTTCTTGCTACAAATCTAGCATTTTTAGCTGTTTTAAACTAACACACACACACACACACACACACGCACACACGCACACACTACCCTGTTAGGTCTGATCAGATAACTGAATCGATATCCCTTCCTCCCCTGGGAACTGACCTTTAGGCCACTTCACAACCAACATTCCCTTTTGCTTAGGCCACATTCCATTTGCTAAGACCATTATCCTTCCCCTCCAGACCTTCCCAGGATCTGGACCCGCCCAGAGGATTCCCCGCCAGGAAAGCCCACCTAGAGTCCTTTAAAACCCCTGACTCCTGTCCCTGGGTGCTGGCGCCATTTTGGGGCTCAGCCCACCTGGTTTTCCAGGTGACCTAATAAAGTTAAAATTCTTTACCACTTTTTGCCTGGTGCGGTCCTCCTTCGGTCACGCTAACAGTTTTACTCTCCTGCATGTTCCCCATAAGTAACGAGGGGCTTCCTGTAAGAAACAAAGCCAGTGTGAGGAGGGGAAGTGCCTGAATCTGTGCCTCATCTCCTTTGGTCACTGAAAGGGCCAATGATCACCCCAAACGTCCTCTGTGACATTAGAGTGTGCTGTCAGTCCCTTCAACTCCTTATCAGAGTCCAAATAAAAATCACCTTCACAGGTCAGTGCCAGCTTTGCTGTTTTAAGGCAGCTTTTTGTCTATGAACTGTTAAAGGGTAAACGGAGGCATATAAACACATTGGAGAGTTGATTTAAGCAAAAATCAGCCAGGCAGTGTCAAGCCAGAGTGAGTAGGAGCTCTTCACCCACACAAGCCAGGGAGACATACAGAGAAGGCGCAGAAGTAAAGGACGGAAATTGGTTGGCTAGAGCTTACAGCCTACTTGGCTGACTGTGACTGGTGGTCCTTAGCGTTTGATTTCATATCCTTGAGACATTTACAGATTGTGTTTTTTTGCAGACCACCACGGCATTAGAGTCACCTCCTTGCTCAATTAATTTACCACCACCTTGGCAGAACGGGTGCTGGGCTCTTTTCCACAGCAGGCTGTTTCATTGTTTCATTAATGACCAGGACTCTATTGATTCCCCTAAGGATTGCAGGAGGAGGAGGAGAATACGATTGTACAGGGCCTGACTGGGTCAGTGCTTCTAAACTGGTCCAGAGTTGTGGAGCTGCGGAGGAGAGCTGGGAGCATTCTGCCAGGGAGGGCCCCCTGAAGGAACTGAATTATCTACACACAGAACTGGGGCGGAGGGTGAGTGGGAGGAACCCTATGAGTGGCCTGGGTCTTGAGGTCGTAGAAGAACCCTCAGGTCACTCTGGTCCAGTCTCCAGCTTGACCATGAGCAAGTGGAGGGCAGCATCCCAGGGCTCCTGGGCTCAGCAGAGTGCTTAGTGAAGAGCAAGGGCCCAATATCTTGTTCTTGAAGACAGGGAAACCAAAACCCAAAGGGGTTACCTGACCAAGATCATAAAGGTAGTTTCTAGTGGAGTCGGGACTTTCAGCCAAGGCCTTGCTTCTCCTCCGTTAGCCGCAGTATGTCATTAATTCATTGAA